AGCCAGGTACCTGTTTTGAAAAGACAGCACTTGGATGCAGATAATATTTAATAATATATGTGTTCCCTTTCCAGACATTAACTACTGTATATCTGGTCTGTTTCTTTCCATATATGATTATATTAACCTTAGTCTTAATAATATTCAGAACATAGATTTCACAAGAGCAGATAGATGTATGAAATAATCTTATTTTCCCTATCTTGGTGTGGAGCATTTATACGATGATATCTGCATAAAACAAGATGTTTGCATGTTTGTCTTTAACTTTTGGCATATGCACTTCAGGATATCAGTTTAGCAGCATAGGAACCAATTCACACTGCTAACTGACCGTTTCAGAGCTGCAGATTTTTCCAGTTAAGGTATCGTTCATACCAGTACAAATTCTTAGATAGGAATTTGAATATAAGTAAAATAAAGTGATTTTCTAGATATACATGATAGAAAATGGATTCCTGCAATTGCAGGAATATCATTGTACAATTGAAAAGAGTTCTGTAGTAGTGGTAGAAAGTGAGGAAACATAAAGTTTTAATTTATTGTAGTAGTTCACAGCAATATCACGTCCCTACTTGGCATGCCTTCCTGTTTAAATCTCTGGACTGGAGAAAAAAAATTAAAAGGCATGTATCAGTAGTGAGTCATGTTCAACTGCTGGTTTCCCAGTAGCTACTCAGTATGCCATCTTTTCACCAATTCTTGAGTTGCTCCCAATCAAACATTAAAAGACACAAAATCACACTTAATCGTACTTCATGTTCTAATTCATTAAATACATTTCATGTACCTTTTTATCTTTTTTTAGAATCCTTGTTTATTTACTAAATGAATAAATTATAGTTACCTAATGTGAAGCCATTGCACTGATATTAAGTAACAAAATAAGCAAAGCAAGGTGTGGGAAATTGGGAATAGTACTCAGAACCACATATGATAGCCATCTAAAAACTTTATAAAGGTCCCATGTATTTAGCTCAGCAGGGTTGGATAGGCTTTTCCGGCAGCAAACCACAGTATATAGCTAATGGGCACAATTTATCTTAGTAGGATGCAAATAGTAATGCCTGGCTTTTCACTGGTTTGCGCAGAGTAGAGTTGAAAACCACATATCCTGTCACTGTGGCTTTGTACATATTAGCTGCAGGTATATGCAAATGAAATTATTTGGAGTCAAGAATTAATAGCTATAAGATACTCTTTTTTCCCAGGCCAGAAATCCTATTAGACTTTTAGTAGCATCCTGGGCTCTCCTAGGTCTGTGGAACCAGGGCAAAAAAACATCAGGAAGTAAAGGCTCTAGTCAGTGGTGGGATTCAAATATGTGTGGATGCCGCTTCCGGAAGTCCATTCTGGGCCTGGGCAACAAAATATTAGCTACCGGTTCTGCTGAAGTGGTGCAAACTGGCTGAATCCCACCACTGGCTCCAGTGTTAGACTGTATCTGAAAAGACCCAGGTTCAAGCCCTGATCAGTTTCAAAACTTGCTGGATGCCTTTGTTTCAGGCATTTTCTCTCAGTTCAACTTAGCTCAGAAGATGTTTATAAGAATAACATTAGGTGAGGCTGTCATTAGTATAGCTTTGAGAAAAGACTAGAGATTTATATACTCGGTTAACACTAGGCAACATATATGCAAAAAATAAATGCATGCAATAATACTGTAATAAGGAATTGAAAACATGGGCAAAATGAAGGAAAAATTATATATGATTTAATGATATTTAATTTTAAATATAATAAAAATACATCGTTTTAGTATTGATAATAAGATGACTACCTGTGTATTTAATAGTCTTCCAATTTGGTCTGATTAAAAGTTACACTGCAGCAATCATTTTTTGGAAGGGTTCTGAGGGATACATCTAAGATCCAAAAACCATGTAGACTTGGACCCAGCTTCTTTTTATTTCCTCTACAATTTGAATGTAATTTGGGCTACTCTGCCAAAGGAGGGTGGATAATCTTGCAGCAAACTCAAAGGAAAAAGAGGGAATGAGTCAGATCCCTTTTGGGTCTAATTCAACAGTGCCTGCAACTGTAGCTTCATTTTTCTGTATTCATAGCTTACTTCACCTATCTATAAGAATGAGTGGATATGTTTGTACTGCTTGGTCAAGTAAGGTACCTAATACAATTTTAATAGAACTAAGTTGAATATAGAGATTATTGTATTAAGATTTCAATTGGCAAGTTTTCCTGAATGGTGGCTGATCCATTTAGTCAAACAGAATTAGGCATAGAGATCTACAGGCAATTTATTTCTTTGTCTTTAATGCACTCCATGAGGCTACTTTAGAAATAAATAAGTTGAATAAAAAGAGAGCTTTTATTTTAAGCATGTACGTCTTTGAATAAAGATTTGAAATCAAAAGGTGAGATGCAAGTTAAGAGCTACATTTTCAAAAGTAATAACTGTAACTAGAAGACATTTTAATTGTTTTCTCTCCACCAGAAAAAAATCTTTATTAAATTGTTTAATTCAATAGTCTCCAATAGCAGTTAAATTAAATATTCCTTTGTGTAAAATTATTTGCTATTCAGCTACTATCCTAATAATGATGGTGCCAGAACAAACTTAATTCATGCCAAAGCACCATTTGACTGCTGTGAAATGTTTTCATGGAACAGGCATACTGAAAGTTTCCATTCACTTTTTGATCATTTCAACAAAAGATAATGATAAAACAGGTGTAAAACACTTGAATTCTCTTCTCTCCCCATATAGCCGATATTAGAAGGCTATATGTTTCCATCATGGACCAAACACGCAAAATAAGCATTCAATTATTTTTACAATAATTTTTTTCAGATATACTCCAGGTAAAGATCTTGAAATATTAGAAATTTTATTAGCAGATGGTGTTTAAAACGTCAATAGAAATCAGAGCCACAGTTTAGTATCCCATACGTTCCTTTCAGGCTAATAAGTTGCTATTATTCTGAAACAATTAAAACAATATGTATTTCATCAGACTAGATGTAATCCTGCTGGGTATTGTACCATGACAAACTGCTCTCCCTTGTCTAGGGACTAAGAGGTTCTTACACATAAATATTTCCCTCCTCAAACTTACCAGTCAAATATAAGTTCTCTCTTGAGGAACAGAATAATTTTTCCCATGGAAATCATATTATATATGACTGATCTCACAAAAAAATGCTAATACACTTGTTTGGTTAATTAGCTGTACAGATCAGGTGACCCAAAGCTGCAAGGTTACTCAAAGATGCCTGCTGAATATGCCTTTTATCAAAAAGGCAAAATGTGCACTCCGCCTCTTGCATATAAATGTGATATCACAATGCAGGCACAAAAGGGATGGGTTTTGTGTCCTGACGTTGCAACAGACATTTCATTATTTGGTCCCCAAGAATATGAGACAGAGAGAAAAAGAGAGAAGCAGGGTCCTCAAAGGCCATGTCTTTATATTTGCATTATAATAAATAATCTTCAAAAAAAATCCTGCAAATTCTTTTTTAATATTTGTTTTAAATTAATTTTCTAAGCCTCTTGAAGTAAAGCTAACAAATGTTGAAATTTTATTCCAGAGATTATATTTCCAGCTAACACTAGCCCAAATCTACTCAGCTGTGTATTTAGCCTTATCTCTATGTCATTCAGTGCCTCCTATATATCATGTGACAAGAGTGGACTTTTACAGAAAACTACCAGAAAAATAAAGCAACCTCTCTATGCAATACTTGTTTTAAGAAAATTGCACAGAAAAATGTATCTATTTTATCTCTTTGCTATTTTTTAAAATAAGTTTTGTGAGTTTTTTAAAAGTTACAAATGAGAATAAAAAGGTAATACAAAACGTAGAAAATATGAATACAATTCAAATAAGGCTATAGTTAAAAGGCTCGCTAATCCAAAACAATATTTTATATGTAAATATGAAAAAGAATAAAATAAAAATAATAAAAATAAAGGACATTGTCTATAATACAAAAATGGTTATATCTTAATGCAAGTTTCTGCATGTAAATAGTAGAACAACATACACCTAAAATAAGAGGGTTGAAATATCCAATAATACTAAAATGGCCTTAATTATCTAAAATCTTATCTGAAGAACCTACTTTTCCTACTTTATTGTCCATGACAAGATTGAAAGAATACCATAGCCTTGCTAAGGCCCATACACTGTATTTTTTACAACATTTGAACCTCAGTAGGACAGAAACAGAGATATCTGACTTCCCTACCCTCATCTCACATCATAAATGGCTTTTGAAGTATTCCTCATCATTTTCTCTGTGGAAAATATCGAGAACAGGTACAGCTGATGATGTCATGTTTTAAATTCTGGCTCATTTCATGTGTTAACCAGTTCTAAGATTACAGCACTTTTCATTTCTAAAATGTAGTTTTAGAACCCATATTTTTTTCAATAGCCATATCCACCAGGGAACCACAAGTCATTTTCAATTCTGTTGTTTTTACTTGAAAACAAATGCTTTGTTTAATTCTCTACATTGTATCACAAATTTCTTAGTATTGGGGGCTATTCTGCAATGTTCCTTCCCCATTTACCAATACTAAATGAATAGTATAATTCCAGGTTATTTTAACTTGGGTAGCTTCTAAACCAGAATGATCAAGTGATTTTGGTCTTTGGTTCAAAAATGAATTAGAATCATCAGCAACTATATAGTTAAACAAATTTAGATGTTACCGTAAATCACAACTACCTTTATCAGAGAAGAAGACAGAGAGACAGACAGGTTTGGTTGTTGGGACAACAAGGCTGAACTTAGAGTATACTTTTTAAGGTAAAAAAGTAGTATATTAAGGCATTGCGAGCCACAGAAATTAACCCATTTTTTAAAAAGCGGTATGTACCAATTTTATAGTACTTGAAAAAGGTAAACATAAATGTAAAGCTTCCATACATAAATGTTTTATATGTGTGTAGACCATATAATATTTGTTAATCTTGAAGCTGTTGCCTCATTTTTCCATACTTTCCTTCTCCTTCCTGCTCCCCCCAAAGAAGAAGAAGAAGAAGAGGAAGAAGAAGAAACAGTCAAAGGTCCCATGGCTGATGACCCCAAACCTGAGGCTCCCCTTGATGAGAAGTATGAGAAAAGAAGTGGGCCTGCTGAGCCTTTGGAACAAACAGAGGGTTTCTCTGAGGCCCAGCAGGATTCCCTTCCTGAAGATCAAGTGGATCACAATGAGGAAAATATAATCCTCATTGGAAAGGAAACCTCAAAAGCAAAACTGCCTTCCTCCGGTGAGGAAGGTATGCCTGCGTTAGGGACCTGCATGTCTTGGCTGCATAGGAGCTGCTTTTTGGTTTTCTCCCCATTCTCTCATTGGCCTTTCTTCCCATTGATTTGTCCTCATGGTTGATGCTCTTGTTATTATGCTTGAAGAGTGTGCACATGGCAAGCCAAAGGCTGTATGATGACATGTTTTCCCACCACTGCAGTAGATTTCTGACTTTTTTAGGGAGTGTTTTCTACTCATGATACCATTTGCAGTGCAGCCAACCTGATATGCCATCCCTTGTCCTTACTCGTTGCAGATGTGTTTGCCAGTCACATTGCTGATATTTGTGTCTTTCTCTTTATATTTCATTTCATTTTGGTATGGAGGTTCATCTGTTTTTCATTTCAAGAAGCAAACTGATTAACCCTGACTATGGCGTAAAATGCTTACTTTGTAAATTTTTTTTGTGCTGTGCAATCTACTTTTGCTTATGCTTCAATACATTCTGCCTCAAGTTTCCCTAAGGCTATTGCTGCTTATATCATATCTTTACCATTCATTGCAGCCCACCATGACACTTGTTTCATTGCCAGGATTTTGAGTTTGCATCTGTTTTACCCTTCTTTCCAGCTGTTTATCTGAATGGAAGTCCCAGTGTGAGAAGAAAATTCACATGAATCACATTGGATATTATAGTGAAGGACTAAATAAATTTTAGTCATAAATTTTCTTTGACTTACATTGCTCATTCTTAATAAACCAGATTAAGTGTGGTCTAGCATATATACTCACATTTCTCTGCCTGTAATAACACAAGCCCTTGAACAAATAATTGTGCACTGGTTAAACCTAATTTTCATTCAAGGAATATTTGTGGGAAGTCTAGTTAAGGCTCTCATAGCTGAACATACATCACAACAGCTGCAACTGTTATAGAATTAACTTTGCTTCTTCTTACTTCACTAAGGTTTCATCATCCCTTGACTATATCAACAAACAGGTAAACCAAGCTAGTTATGATAGGGATCAAACATGAATATAATCTCAACTAATGAGAATTGTGTGACCAGGATAGTGTAGTTGGGGATTCCAGCACTGGAAAGGATTAATGTTCTCTTCTTCTACATGACTTTTCCTTGTTTACATTTCCCCTCTACTGGTATTTGGTCCCTTAGTTACTGTTAACCTTTTTAAAAAATGGAAGATTCTAGTCACTGATGAATTTTCACATCATTTGTGTCAAAAGTGACTTGTCTAATGAAACATACAATAAAATAATTGAGAATAAGTTATTTTACTGAGTAGTCACTAGATAAGACAGGGAGAAAGTGTAGGAATGACATTCATTTTCACATGCATTAAACCAATACAATTTTGTTAATTCCTTTATTCCCTTAAATCAAGGGAGAATTTGAAATTAATTGTTGAAGATGATAGATTCCAAAGCAGATTTGTTAACTTAAAAATAGACTAGCTTACCTTTGTAAGTCCATTCAATAGAATATTTATGAGCAAAAACTAATTTGCCGCATTCATTGATATTGATCTAAATTGTAATTTTCCTAGGAAAGAATTAATAATTGGAATGAGGTGTAGTAGAATGTTCATTGAAAAATCAACCTGTAATGAAAGGTATAATAATAAAAAATGGGAAATAGGATAACAAACAGTCTCTAGCATAAGTTTACAACATTGTGTAAGACTATGATGGGTGTTTACACAAGGCGAAAGATGGGGGGTAAGGGAGAGAGAGAGATGAACTTAACAAAACACTTGAAGTAATTGAAACATAGGCTTAGTATTTGGGGCAGTTAGGAACCAAGGAGAACCTTGAAAATTAAGACAAGAGGCTGACACTTTGTTTTGCTTCTTCATCTTATCTCTCACTCTCAGTTTAATGCATATGTTTTAATTTGGAAAAAGGAATTGTCAAATATCAAGAATGCATAGCTGGCAGAAATTCTCTGGGTTTTTAGTTATGAATCTTCTCCAGCTCTATCTGCCTGAGACAGGGATTGATCGTGGGATATTTTGGAGGCTGAATTTTTCATCTTGGAAGCAACGAAGTCTATGGAAATGTAAATACTAAAGATCCAATGCTTTCTCCTACCGTGTGTTTCAGGGTCACAAAAATGCCCTGTGCACAGCATTTGAAAAGGCATATTTCAAAGGGCTTAGTGCAAACAAAGACTTTGAAACAGCTGTGTCCTCTGGAAAGCTCTCTTGGCTGCTTTGAAGGCTGTCCCCAGATGTTTCTACCTTCATGTGGCTGCACAACTCTTTTTCTTTAGCAGCCCTAACAAATGTGCATGGAGGTGCAGAGAACTAGAGGCAGCCTTTGTAGCAATCATGACAACTTCCCAAAAGATGCAACTACTTTAATGCTTTGCTTAAGGGAAGGGTACTTTACTTGCACCAGCATACTTTATGAATTACTTCTTTATGAATGCTTTGCTCAGGCATTACATCTTATTACTATTCAATCATATATTTCTAAATTGTTTTTTTTTCCCTGAGGCAGAAATTATTTTCCATTATGGAAAATTCAAAACAAAGCAAGTAAAAATGTTTTTCTGCTTCCAGACAATATATGTATATCTTTTCTGAGTCTTTTGTAGAACTGTCCATCCACTGGCTAAAAAGTAGGCACAAGCTTCCTTTCCAACCAGAAGCAATATATTTTTGTTTTGAAGCTCAGCTTCTAGAGGGATAAGAAGCTTTCTATCTTTTTTTTTTTTAAATGACTGTTGGGAATCTAGGCATTATGATTCATCAGGGAGCTGATCTGTTTCCTCCCCACCTTATAAAATCCACAGAAATTAATGGGTTTTATTATACAAATGAAGCAAGTATAATTCTTCACATAGCACACCATTTTCATTTTTACAGTCATTGATTCTAATTGCATTTTTAAAAATTAAATCTGTTCTTTGAGTATAGTTTATTCAGGGACTATTACAATATAGTTGTCAAAACTACCAGACTTAAAGATGGTTCATGGTTCATCATCACATTTCCAGAGGTATCTAGTCAATCATTGTTGGAGGCAGAATTCTGGACTGGACATTGCTTTCCATCAAGCCATTTATCTCAAGTGTTCATCAGTTAGAAGAGACATTTTTTCAGTTCTGACCCAGGAGGCTACTCTGCATATGGAAGCCAATTTCCTAGTGTGAAACCGATTCTAAGAATTATATTGTGTGGTTTTAAACTGCTTTATTTCAGTGCTTTCAGAATGCTATTTATTATTGGAGTTCTTTATCCTGAGTTTGAGGAGGTTACAAAATCATTAAAGAATTCCAGTGTTGCAAAATGCAAATGCTCTGGGAAACAAATCAAGGGCAGAAGATTATATTAGAAATAGGAGAAATCCTTCCGATTGTGGTAGTGTTTTTCCTCCAGTTTTGTCTTTTTAGAAAAGTCATTTCCAATGTATTGGTCAATAACTCCTATATTTCATAACCCATACTTCCTAACCAGCTTTGCAAATGGAGAGGTTAATTGAAATGGATGCTACTAACATTTATATGTTTTGCAGCCCAATTCAGATGCCTCACTGATCCCTGGGCTTGCCAATAAATGTGCACAATTTTAATTCCTTCAAAATAAATGAATATGCCTTTTGCTGCATACTGAGCTGAAATGGTTCCTACTGAAATAATTAAAAATTCAATGCCAGGGTCAGTTCTGATCTTTAAATATGTATAAATGGGTAGGCATTATTACAAACTGATATGTGTGTGTTTGTATTGTACACACACACACACACACACACACACACACACACACACACAGTGCCCCAATAATTGATTTGGGAGAACTTCATAAAATGTTTTGAAAAAGCATTATTATGTAAACTAGGGTTGCATTTACTTCAAAAATGATTTGGAATTACTGTTTTATACCTCACTCAAGTGCAAATACAATGCCTATTCATTAAAACACAGTTCCTTTTTTCAGTATTCCATTTGAGTGCAAAAAAAGGATGCGGTTACTGCTAGAAATACTTTAAAGTTGCACTTTTTAAGAACTTGATTTATTAAAATGAATTTATATTTTCTTCAGGTGGCATGAAAGTCCAAGAAAAGATAAGCATGCTTGAATGAATAGCAGTGAGGTATTGTCCTTGGGGTTGAGCAAAGTATGGAACACTGCTTCTGAGTCACTATCAAAGCCTGCAACAGATGTACTATAAATGTTAATGTGTAATATACACAAAGATTAATAACTGAATTCCATTATTTTTTAAACGTTAAATATTCAGCCTCGGTTTTTCAGCAATATTTCAAAGTTGCAGTACAGTGATTTTGTATGAAACTCTTGCAGGAATAAACATTCTATCATAGTCTTGTTTCTCAAGAACAGTTTTATGATACTAGAATTTTTTAAAAATTTATTTAAAAAGTAGTCCCCTTATCCCCCAATTTGTGTAAAATGTTGATTGGTATATCCATTTCAGTCTTATCATGATTTGGCCAGTCAGACAAAAGGAATAATGTCATTAAATGGATGTAGGACTTTGAATTTTAAATATAGCACATATATGCATTCACACACACATTTATATACATATTTATTATATTCCAGAATCTTATGTCAAATTCATTGTATGGTAAAATTTTCTAAGCTGAAGTTGGATTTATTTTTAATCTAATAATTGTTACAAACAAATATAACAAAATACAGCTAGGTTTATCAATATAAGATTATTAATCGTGCACTGAGAGAGTAAAACAATAATAAACATATCTCTAATTAGTTTCCCTAGTTGCATGTAGCCAAATTTTTACAACTTTGCCATGCCACATTATGCTATAAACTAGTTTTCTCTTTCATTAAATGCTTTCTATAAACTGTTCTAAAATCCAATGCAACAACTGCAGATTTACTTTCAGCCTCGAAGATGGAAATCCATGGACAGGAAGTTACGAGCCTTTTCACAGCTACACCTTTCAACACCAAGGAACAAGAGAAAGGAAATAGACCCAGTGAGCACCCCGTCCAAGATGCCTTAGTTCCACAGCCAGCAAAAACAGAGACTATAGAAATGAGAGAACCGCAGTGCACAGGAGAAGAGATGACATTCCCGTCTCAGTTGGGGAAAACTTTGGATGCCACTCTGCCAAAGAAAGAAGAGGCTTCCACACCTCAAGAACAAAGAGATTTGTCAACAGAGTTGCATAAGAAAAGTACATTAGATGAAAAGGCCACAGAGACCCAGAAACCTACCACAGAAGCACCACCCTTGGAATCTAAAGATGATCAGATGACTATTACAAAAAATGACTTTACCTCTCCTGCAAGTATTTGTTCTTTGCCCTCAGAATCTATAGTGGACACAACAGGCACAGTAAAAAGTGCCTTTTTTCCTGAAACCTTACCAGGTATTCTACATATGTCTGAACCAGAAGAGAGTAGCAAAACAACACAAAAGTCTACTATTACAGAAGACCTTTCAAAAGATCAAACAATGAACAAAGAGCACGTAAAAATACAGGAAGAAGAATTTGCAGTGGTGGCTACAAGTCCCTCACAAGCCATTGTAGAACAAACTCCAAGCCAGGTTCCCCTTTGGGAAGAAGAAAAAGATATGACTGAGGATGAAAGTGATGAAGAGAGATACTCCATGTCCAGTAGACAGAGGATCAGAGAACTGGGTGATCAATCTTTTGCTGCGTGTAACCAGAAACCAACTGTTCTGGGTAAAGAAGTTATGGGAAAAGATGTTGATCCTAAAGAAGCATATGATGCACACAAAGCAGAAGACTTGGAGATAACTGGAGAATCAACAACATGGAATATTAAAAAAGATGAGAAAACACATGGTGCTGAGGTCATGGCAGACCGATTCAGTAAAGATTTCCCCCCCGAAAAAGATGAAGAATGTTTGGATACCACTGTATTACATGAAACAATAGAGAATGCTCCATCTGAAACACATAAAGAACCTCAGGAAGACAAATGTACTGAAAAAGAAGAGAAAAGTAAAGTGTTTCCTGTTACAGATTCAGATCCCCACCAAATGAGGATAGAAGAAGATAAATCAGGTATGTCTACATATTTTGAAACTTCCACTCTTAAAGATGAAGTTATCAAGCATGATAAGGTACAACAAGGCAACGATTACTATGAGCTGAGTGATTCGAAAGAACAGATTTACGATGTTTACCATAAAAATTCCCTTGTCTCTAAAAAGGAGATTGATGACTATCAGCCAGAAGCATACCAGCAGCCCAGTCCACCTGCTCATGAACTTGGATACAGTACCCTTGCCCAGAGTTTCCCAGAAGATGATCTTAAGGAACCTAGCTCTCCTCCAGAAAGAATGTATACTATTGACCCCAATGTGTATGGAGATAAGAGAGAACTCCACAGTAAAAATAAAGATGACTTAACTCTCAGCAGGAGCTTAGGGCTTGGCGGAAGATCTGCTATAGAACAGAGGAGTATGTCAATTAATCTCCCAATGTCCTGCTTAGATTCTATAGCACTGGGATTTAACTTTGGACGTGGTCATGATCTTTCACCTTTAGGTTCAGATATTTTAGATACGGCTAGTGGAGATGAAGGCGATGATTACTTGCCTGCCACCACCCCAGCAGTAGAAAAAGCTCCCCCCTTCCCAACAGAAAGTAGGGAAGAAGATGAAGAACAAGAACAAGAAGAAAAGGAAGAAGAAGAAAAGATAGAACAGTCCAAATTTAAAGAATCAGGAGAGATTCAGGTGGAGCCTTTATATGAATCCCCTTTCCTAGCTAAAGATTATTACAAAAATGGGACTGTAATGGCTCCTGACTTACCTGAAATGTTAGATTTAGCTGGCACAAGATCAAGAGTAGCATCTGTGAGTGCAGATACAGAGGTAGCACAACAGAAATCTGTTCCTTCAGAGGTGGTTATTGAGGAGAGCTCTTCAGTCCAGCAACTTATGACTGATGAAAATCACATGACTCTAAAAGCTGACAGTCAAATTGAAGATTTAGGTTACTGTGTTTTCAACAAATACACAGTACCATTACCATCTCCAGTTCAGGACAGTGAGAATTTGGCAGGAGAAAGCTGTTCCTATGAGGAGAAAATGAGGAGAGGTGTAGTTACAGATCTCTCATTGATAGAAGTGAAGTTGGCAGCAGCTGAGAGATCCTATGAAGAAAAAGAAGTCTCCGAGGACTCCCCAGTTTGGGGCCAGGACTTTGAGCAGGAGAGAAAAGCTATTGATAAATTAGATACTGTGTTAGAAAAAAGTGAGGAACAAGCTGATGCTAAAGAAATATCTTTTCCTGAAGACATTGTACATGAAATAAAGCTTGGTTCAGAGCTAGTAGATGTTAATGATAAAACTCTAGTTGAACCAGAAAAGAAACCTTCATTAATTAAGAAAGAGGAAAATGCTATTGATGTTGCTGCAAAGATAGATAAGGGAGAATTGTCCTGCAAACCAGACTATGATGCTATAAAACATGATATGGATTCTGCTGCTCGGCAAGTGGAACAGGAGTATCAGAGTAAATTAGGAGGTCATATCACTGAATTAGTTTCAGAGCAGAATAAAGAAGACCAAGAAAAGATCCTCTGTACATTACATCAAGAGCCTGATCTATGTGCAACATTGGAATCTAATCATGCGAAAGATACAGCTAAATTGTCTGAACTTGAAGTTAAGGAAAAAGGACCTAAACCTGATCTGGTGCACCAAGAAGCAGTAGATAAAGAAGAATCATATGAATCAAGTGGAGATAATGGTCAAGTGCAAGAGGGATTGTCTGGAGAAATTTCAAAGCCACATGAGGTCAAAATACAAGAAGAAAGCCCATCTTTATTAGAGGAAGAACATGCAGCACATTTTCCATTGGGACAATCTACTACAGAAAAAGATATATCAAAAGTTATTCAAGAAGAAACAATAGAAACTCAAATGGAGAACATAACAGAGCATAAAGTAGATCAGGTGGATACTGTGGCAATAACTGGCACTGAGAATGTGGAGAAGTTGCCCTGTGATTTAAAATACGAGGAGGCAAAAGAAAAAGTGGAAGAAGAACAAAAGGAAGAGATTAAGCAAGAGGAAGAACGAGAGGAAGAAGTAAAACAAACAAAAGAGGAAATCAAGCAAAGGGAAGAACATGAAAAAGAGATTAAAAATGTAGAACAACATGAAGACATTAAGCATCTGAAACAACATGAAGTGGAGATTAAGAAAGATGAACATGAAGAAAAGGCTAAGCAAAAAGAAGAGGAGGAGATCAAACAAGCAGAAGGACAAGAGGAGGAAAGAGATCAAGAAGAGGAAATCAGTAAGCAAACAAGTAAAGAAGAGAACTTGGAGAGACCCAGGGAAGAAGTCTGTGCAGCTATCCCCGTGGAGATACCTGAGCTCAAAGGAGTAATAGAATCTGTTGTTACAGTTGAGGATGATTTCATTACAATCGTGCAGACAACCATTGATGAAGGAGAAGCCAATTCCCACAGCGTGCGCTTTGCTGAAACAGGCGGAGAAGGCTTCTGTACTGAAGAAGAGCTGGAGATGGAGGCAGAGGTTATTGCTCATGTTGAAGCAGACTCAAAAGGAAAGTCTCCGGAACCTCCTGGCTCAGCTGAACAGGAAGAAATCCCAGTCACTGATTACAAGACCGAAATATATGATGATTATAAAGATGAAACAACAATCGATGACTCCGTCCTGGATACCGACAGCATATGGGTGGATACACAAGGTGTGCCTTATGCTTTTTCATTCATTCATTTTGCGTTCAATAGACTATATTAATAATTAAAAATAATTAATGGCAGTGCAGTCGTGAATGTTATTAAAATAATATCAGCATGAATCAACCAAATTGTTTAAAAGATTATCCCAGCAAAGTACAAATAACTAATCCTGTTTTTGTTATAATTTACTCTGATCCTGCAGATGATGATAGGAGCATCATGACAGAACAGTTAGAGACTGTTCCTAAAGAGGAGAAATCAGAGAGAGAATTGCGGAGACCGTCTCTTGATAAACATAAAAAAGAAAAACCTTTAAAAACTGGGAGAGGCAGGATTTCTACTCCTGAAAGAAAAATAGCTAAAAAGGAACCTAGCACAGTCTCCAGAGATGAAGTGAGAAGGAAAAAAGGTTTATATAATACTTGCTCTTTTTCCTTTTATGCTGTACTGTGGGTTGCTCATCTGTATACTTTTTCATTAAGAACATACATTTGTGCTAACATATAGTCCATGCTACTTCCATTGCCCCACTTTTATGCTGGTGATAACAGCAGCTAAACATATGAATAGGAATTCATCTTCTAAGATTCATTAATATTGTCAGCACCAAATAATCTACCCTAATAATATTGGGGCTGAGTATCCATCTAGCAGTATTTCTACCTCATTAATTATCACGGCTTCCATGGGACTACTCTCAATTCTAATCTTTATTAAACAAAAGAGAGAAAGAGTTGTCAGTAGGTATCCATAAGACTTCATTTAATTTGAATCAAGGTAAATGTCCAACTCTCTGAACCAAACCATATCTGTCAAACCACAGCTAGGTTGGAAGCCTTCAAAACTGAACGTCTCATAAGGATCTCCTTGTTCTTAATGTAAGTCAGTGCTCCTCTCTTTCCATAGCTTCATAAGCTGCCCAGCATTGAGGCTACCTGAGATGTTCAGACAGGGGAATGGATTACAATGATACAGGGGCACAGATTGGAATAGAAAGAGCTTGCGTTCCCACCCTGTTAAAATGCATTTTCAGTAAGATGGTGTAATTTTGGAAGGGATGTGTATGGATAGGATGACATAATTGGTGAAAGCTCTAATATCTTAAATATAGATCATGTGGGCATTGGTACACCCAAGTCAGAGTTAAATGGCTAAGTTGGCACTAACAGCCAATATGTTGATTTGTTGAAATATATTTCTATTTATAATTTTTTATTTCTGATTGTATGCTCTTGTTTTCTTGTCTATAGCTGTGTATAAGAAAGCTGAACTTTCTAAAAAAGCTGAAGTTCAGGCTCACTCTCCCTCCAGGAAAATCATTTTAAAACCTGCTATCAAACATACTAGACCAACTCATCACTCCTGTGTTAAGCGGAAGCAGACAGGTGACTGTGCTGTCTTGAATTTATGCAATGTGGCTGGCAAACATAGACATTACTATTCTCATTATTATTATTTGTAGTCTCATTGCTCTATTGGCTGCTCTAATTTTGATTTCAATTTTTTTCCTCTCTAAGAGTGTTTTAGCTCTCATGAGTGATACTGCTTTTATTTTTTTGTATCATACTCTTTTCATTTATTATTATTATTCGGAGGCCATGATCATGAATGCTTATCATGCTTGGACTTCCCAAGTTCTGTAGCTGTTTATTGTTGATAATAGTGTTGTATAAATCTCTCTATTTTGCTTTGTTTTGTTTTTCATTTTTGCTCTGTTCTGGTGGGAAAGTGCAAATGGCTTTGAACCATGTTTTACATTTTTCCTTTATTCTTTTACTGTTTTTCTTTCATGCATAATAATAAGAATTGCGACATTATTCCACTTTGTATTTATATTGTGTACAATAACTCTTTCAAATTGATGGCTGATTTGTTTGCTAAAATTGTTATATATTAAAGCACGGAATCTGAAACAAGTAGATATTTTTGAACAGAAACTCTCCTGAATGTGAATATTTGCTTACAGTGAAAAACGTTGAAAATACAGGAAAAGAAAATGAGGCAGTACTTGCAGCTAATTATATATCTGTAGTTATTTAGGAGATTTTTGGATTGTACAATGCTCTGCAGTTGAAGAGATTAAGATAAATAATTTACAAGGAGCAACATTTGTACAAATCCTTTTCAGGACAGATTTGCACCCTTGTCAATAATTCTACTCGGGTGACATGCAAATAATGATTGAAATATGCATCTTAGAATTATTTATGTGGTCATGTATGCTTTTTATTGCAATCAAAGGGGAGATGACTAAATACTACCCTTGATCTCTTTATTTTATATACAGAATTAAAGTGCACGTGAGGAAATGTTACTAATTTCAGGAAAACATTTTTCCTGGGAATTCCAAAATATTTCTTCTCTAGTTTTTCTGTGAATATAAGGTTATAAAACTGGAGTGCCAATCCATAAACAGGCAAACCTAAAATTTCTTTAAAATTGCATCAGCCTTCTTTCTTCAAAGTTCCGAGAAGTTATCTATGATAGGAGTCCCCAATCTCTGGGCTCCAGTCCATTACTGGGCCATGGCCTATTCCCAACTGGGCCTTGTGAGTGGTGGACCAACACACGTGTGTGTGTGTCTGTGTGTGTGTATGTGTGTGTGTGTGAATGCAGCCTCACTTGTGCGAGCAGCAGGCACCAGCACTCACAGCCCCACCTCACACAAATGAAGCTGCCTGCTGCTCGCACAAAACCATCTCCTCTTCCCCCCTCCCGCATTGGGCCGCCAACCCGGAAAGATTGGGAACACTGCTCTATGAAGAGCATCCTGGACCCCTATGTAAAAATGAAGGAAGACGCCATTTTCTTTAAAAATCTTTTCTATTGTCTTGTTGTCTTTAAAGAGGGTGGTAGTGGGCAATGAATATGCCTTTTTTTTTTCTACATTGGTCCATAGGTTTCCATATCCAAAAGTAGGAATAAATACCAGTTAAATTTCCTATGAGGACAGCATTGGGCAAAATGTAGCATAGCAATTGACAACAGAAATGCCTTCACACTTTTGTGGCAGAAGTAATTCTGCAACAGCACTTCCAATTTCATCTACACCCACTTCCAATTTCATCCACACTTGAGATTGGAATCTTGGTCATTGAGCAAAGTGGTCATTAAGCCACAAGCCCACGTGACTGCTTTGTTCAAAGATTGCAATCCTGGCATTCCAAGTTACAACCATTAAGCAATTTCCCTGGTCAATGTGAAGTAGAAGTCCTCTTGCAGGCAGCCCTTTTGTTCCCAAAAGTTATTGCAGCTCACCAAAGGACTTTAGCTCCGCGCTGTGCACAGAGAAGAAATCCTTTGTGAGGCTGCAGGAACACAGATGAAATCTTTAGGATGTAATGATCTTCAGAATTTCAGCACTTTTCCTGCAGCCCACCGGAGAATTTCAGCTTTTTTCTGACCCCTCTGCTTGCAACCTTCCCTGCCTGCTTCCCAATTGACTTTCTGGGGAAAATGGCAGAGAGGTTTGCACATGGTAATCACGTGATTGTGGGGAACTTTTATTCACATGTCTTTATAGGCTATAAAGTTCCCTTTTCCCAGCTGTTGTAACTTTGAATGGTCATTAAATTACTGGTTGTAAGTCAAGGATTACTTGTACATTACATAAAAATCAAATATTATACAATTGTTTTTGAATCAGAACAGTTTAGTATAATTAAAGATAGACTTTTGCCTACTCATTAAAGTGAAAAGCTCCTAAGAGTGTACCATTGTTGCATGACCGTTCTTGTTTCTATATGATTCAAGCCAATCTTGATTTTTGCATTAGGAAATCCTCAGTTCCCAAAGAATTGCAAGAGACTAATAGAAGACTTAGTTCTAAAATTCCTTCTGTTGTATCACGTATTGATCGGAATGGAGAACTTACTTCTCAGAACGGAAAACCAGAAATAGAGTAATTAATTACAGTTACTTAATTTCAATTAAGTGATATTTTTTATTCCAAACAAAACTCAATAAATAAGGATACGATAAGCAAATGATGGATATGGTTGAATATCACACAAACTCATTCTCTATAATTTTCGTGACTCTAATTGTTTACTTAGCAGCTGCAGGAGAACATTTCTTTCTTAATTTTTTATGCCCCCATTGTAGAGAATTGTTTGTGGTTCTCATTAGCTACTTTGAGGCACTGTTTTTGACAAAAGCTAAATACTATCCTCTACATTAGTATCCCAAATTAAACTCAGAATTTACATTGAACCAAAATTGAGGTAGCCTAATGATCTCTCTGCATACATGTCCCTACTATAAAGATTTCCAAAAATTAAGAGTTTTGTTGTTGTTGTTGTTTTGTTTACTTCCTGGGAGAAGCTGGCAAATTTTTAATTACACAGTTTCAAGAATATTGGCCAGATAGCAAATCCATTTAAAGTTATATCCCTGTTGATTATCTCAGTGTCTGTGCACTTTTTCAAAATGCTAGATGGATGGAACAAATTTACTTTTAAATGAGCAAGTAGGGGGAAATGATAACATTTTTCCTTGTATATCTTGTATATCTTTCTTTATTCTCTTGTTTTCTGTTATATGCACAAACCAAAGAAATGTCACATTTGCACGCTCCCTCCTGTTTATGTGGGAGATAAGAAAATTAAAACTTTGCATTTCATTTTTAAAACTTCTCATTTCTTGTAATACTGAATCTGAACTCAGGAAAACGGTTCAGATCCTGGCATGTTCTGATTAAAGTTGAGTTGGCCATAGTTCCAACACAACAGGAGATCTCTTCCTCCAGCTTATGTTCAGAAAGGATTTCCCATAACGTGGAAAAACTATAAGAAGGCCAGGGGTGGAGGATAGGGGAAACTAGAAGAATCTGCTACTGATCAATAGCTTTTTTTCTTTCTTTCATGGAAGATTGACTTTTGTGAATTAGGTCAAACTACAGTGTACTACTAAAGCAAGACTTGATATGGTATTTATTTTCAAATACCCAAATTTCAAATTGTGTATCTTCAAATTTACTTTGAAGAATGAACTGATTTGCAAATCTGAAACCCTTCAAAATATTTTCAGTTTTATATAAAATATGTCCCATATTTGCCAGCTTTATTAATTACGTATTGAAAAGCTCCCTAAGGAGGTTTTATTTCTGTAGCTGCTATTTCAAGCATTATAAGCTGGAAATCTTTCCCATTAAATCAATGGATCTTCTTTCTACCAGAGTAAACTAGATGGGGATGTATATGAAGTGTAATGGTAAAACATAGATTTTGAATAAGGCTACTTCATGCAAATACACATTCAGTACTTGTTTCTTTTTATCTTTTTTATATACACAAAAAAGGACACTTTGAAGAAACCACATTGATTTTAACCATTGTAATATGGTAATATGAATACTATCATCTGAACCTAATCTAAATTTGTACTGCAGTTTTTGGTTGGTTGAAAAAGTAAGACTGTGTTTCCTTTGTGACATCACAACATCCATATCATAGGACAAACAGAAGTAGCAGCTTAGGCTTTGAACTGGGAGAAACATGTATTAGGCTGGTTTTCCTCATCTTAAATTTCATGCTGTGTGTCCCAGAATTAAACATGTTTCTTGCATGATTAAACTGTTAATCGAACTCCAAGGGACAGGGCGAAGTCATGATCCAGGTTTATTGTTCAGATGGAAGAATTATTATGCTTTCAGGTAAGTCATCAGTAAGGCATTTTCCCATTGTTTAATAGCTGTGGATCACTGATACGTGATTCAACCAGAAGAATCTATTACGTGGAAGGGTGTGTAAGTGGGTAGATGGGACCAGTAGTAGAGCTAAGAAAATATAATGCAGGTAGCTTGTGATGAAGATATTGACAACTTAACCACACTATTTTAATTTTTTTCTTTTAATATATTTACCAATAATTTTCTAACATGATTTAAGGGTTTATTTTAATGATAATGTAGTCAAACTGATAATAGATACTTCCTTGCAAACCATGGAATGTTTGGCCATCTTGGCCACTGGAAATAATTCCGAGTGTAAGGAACTCCATCCAAATCTCTAAACAACGTATGTTGTAAACCATGCTATCTGCTGCAGTTGTGTTCTTTGAATTTAACTGCAAGCAATGAATTGGTGATGATTAATACAGTAGGATATATTAAGCTAGGCACAGATATTCAGACTGCATATAAAATGGTTAAAGGGGTGAGGAAAGGATATATGCATGCTGCTCTTCTGTATCTTCTTGTATCTTTTCCCAACCTTCCTTTGATGATGATGGAAGATCTCAGGACCATTACATTTGACTCACCTGGACACCATGGAAAACATACATGGAACCAGAAATGCTAGAAGGGTTTTCCTCCAGCTCAGAGTAGGAAGTTTGGAAACTGAACAGTGAGGGATGTTACACTCAAGTCTTGCATGTTGACTCATGCCCACGCTGTCCTTTTCAACCATAGAGGAGAAGACTGAACATACATGCAGGGGTTTTCCTACATATACATACAGTATTCCAACTGGGCTATGTATTTACTCACTGTTTCTTTAAGTACTGTTTTCTTTATGTTTGAAATTGGCTTATGTGCAAACCATTTAAATAATGGATAACAAAATGAAAATAAAACCCATCATTTCAGTATCCTATTCTTCTTTTATTTTAATATTCAGTCTTGCCCTCATTTGTAATATTCCTAGAAGATGCAATACATACGTATAGGAAATGGTTTTAAGTCATAACCAAAATATTACTAGTGCTCATATGTTTAAAAAAGTGATGGTGAATGTTTTCAGATTATTGCTATTTGTTGAATATAATGCTGTAATCCCACATCATTCAAACCTCATAATTTTCTTTGCAATGCTCTGATGGTAAGATTTTTAGAGAATATTGAGAAGTGTTATTCTTTAATTTTCTAGTTGCAATTTATTTTTTAATTAGCAATATTTGGGCCAGTAATTGGTTCATTATAAATACTGCATGGCAATTTAAATTGAAAATATTAAAGGTTAATTTGGAGTTATGATTTTAAAACGTTAACCTTTCCCCCCTTATTTTTTAATAGCTGCTGGTGGTGAAACAAACCAGACGCCTGGGGTATTTAAGCAAGCAAAGGAAAAACTTTCGGTAGGTGAATTTGCCTTTATGTGTTTTACATGTCTGCGTATTTTGAATATTTGGTGGTTTTAATACCATAAATAACTTTAAAAACCATTTGGCAGTTTTAAACAAATAGTTTCTTTTTGACTCACTTTGAAATTAATCATAGATTCTTAAAATGTTCTAATTGCTGTATTCTGTAAAATTACAAATTGACGGTTAGAAAGATATTAAGTTTTCTATTTTTTGTTCTAGTGAGTCCATCAGATGCAATTCTGAGAACTTCATGGCATTACTTTCAATCTACCAGTCTGATTCATTTTTGTAAGAGGAAATACTAGAAACTAAATCTGATCTGCTTTCTATATGTTTAAAATCCAGTGGCTGCTGCTCTGCCTGGGGAAAAAAAAAGGGGGGGGGCAAATTCAAAGTTCAGCCAATCACTGAAACTGGGACTGAATGCTAATTCAGCTAGATAAGCAAATTGACACCAGCACACACTGATGCAGGGCCCCTGAGTTAAAAGGCAACTGAAAATTTGGCTTCGTGGACTCTCAAGACATTAAGCAAAATCTAGATGGAAATACAATAAAACTAGTGCTGTCATAGCCTCAAGATGCAAAGAGAAACTGATTTCATTAGCATAAAATAGGAAATCAGCGCAATGAACCACCAGCAGCAGAACAGAACTATATCTTTATCACCCATTGTTAACCATAACAAAGGAAGGAGTCATTTATGTTACTGGGAATGCACAAATATGTTTGACTGCCAAAGGTACAAGGCACTTTATCAGATGTGGTAGGTACCATTCATAATACCTTGCTTTCCATGATTCTTCTTTGTTCAAGACCACAAATTCAGTTGACTGGTGACTTACAACTAGAGGGTCTATGAAGTGCCATCTTTTCTTTTAGCTTCTTCCCCACCCCCCTTTCCTGGGAAGAGAAAGATGGGAGGGAGGAGAATGTCTCTCTCTTAAACCATACTTGTTTTAACAAGAAATGGAGGATGAAAAAGGATGTGGCCAGAGTTGAAATGTTTCCCAATTCTTTATATCTATTTCTCCAAACATATATTCTGTTTTAGTCTATAGAGAAAATCTCCTCTGATCTAAATGTACCTGTTTATAAGTTTTGCAGCTCAAATCATAACTGGATGAAGCCATTGAGTCCAGCTTAGTGCAGAAATTAAGATCAAATTATAGGTACAAGAGAACATAACCAAGGAAAGGGAGCCTACCAATCCAAATCACCAGACCTTCTATCTCAGACCACTTGCCCCATTCTCCAAACGGAGCATGGCATTGTCCAAATGGCATGCGGCCCTCAGAGCCTCGTGAGAAGGCCGCACATGATTTGGACAACGCTGCATACGATGCCTTGTGAAGGGCCAGACTGGGCACACTTTCTCAGCAGTTGGAGGAAGAGAAGGGCAAAGAGCATCTGGGAGTGGTAAAGCCAGTGGAGCATAAGGCAGCCAAAGGGACACAGATGATGGGGGGGGGGAATAGGTGAAGGGAATTGAAGCACCCCTGCAGTTGTGTGCGTTGGCTGCCCAAATTCTGATCCCATGGCTGCAAAGGCATTGCAATAGCCATAGCTTTGGGAACTGGGCGTAATTACCATTTCTCTAGTGCTGCTCCAGAATGTGCCAGATAGAGAAGAAAACTGTAAAGAAAGGAAGAAAGAGAGAGATGGCCTATCCCATAACCCGGATGTTATAAAAATTAGATACCTCACATTCATTTGCACGGGACATGCAGATATATGAATAAACACATGGCTGTCCTGTTTCCTTTTATCTAACATGCATATGTACATTTGCCTGTTTGTCTTTAATACCTTTGCTCACCCACTGAAAGTATCTTTTTCCTTTTTATCCAGAGGCCACAGCTTTCCAGAATTTGATAGTGAAAGAATAGTAATTTGCATATGTAAATAAAAAAAAATCTTACACTTCTGTCCAATTCCTATCATTACTTGAAGTGATAATTTCAAGTAGCAAGCTTGCCCCTTGATTACCTTGTCTGCTCTGAGCACATATATCTTAGGATGGCAGAGAGTAGCGGTAGATAAAGTAGCATTGTACTTAATCTACTCTCTCCTTTAAAGGAGATTGTATCTTTAATGATGACTGTTTTAATAATTGTTTTGATCTATTTATTGTTTTATTTTAATAACTGTATACTGCACAGAGTCACTTTGTGTAAGATGGGTGGCCATATACATTTAATAAATAAATAGTTGTCTCTAAAATAAAGCTGTCACCTGATGGTTACACTTCTTGGTCTGTGGCTGGGAGACTGGAGTTCAATGAACTTCATAGAATTTTTCTGAGAAAAAATATGTACAGGATTAAACATTAGATTCATACACAGTTTTTTTTATCTCTCAAACCTTGTATGCTCACTTACATCCTCCTACATCATAATACTAATGGTGCCCATCAAATCCCTTCTCTATTTTGTTTTGAAAAGAATCAGCAAAACTGTTAGTGATATCATAAGGCTTCCATAATTGGCTTTGCCAAAATTAGTTGACTTCGTAAGGCAAGGACTATATTCTCTCCAACGTTAACAAGATATAGCAGTTTGTCTGTGACTGTTGCAGTTAATAATGCATAACACATAACATTTTAATATCAGTTTCAAAGTAATATTGTCCACTAAGATTCTAAACACGAACTTAAAGTGCTTATTGACTTATTTTTATGAGATCTAAAAACCCTGTATCTCACAATAACATTATAAAAAATATGAATATAGGCTGTATTTACCTGAGTGAAGTCAGTGCGAGTGTAGTCTCAGCCTGGTAACTGAAGGAATCCTAACTTGGATATCAATATTTTTTGGTGAATATTATTACTGAAATTCTAGTCTTAAAACCTGGAAAGATGATAACACTAAAAGTAGAAAAATAGAATGGTAGCATGGGCCAGTGACAGTGTAAGTAGCTTCAGAAAAAGCCACAGTCAACTTCTGAAAAATAGCATTCATCTTATGCTTTGAACAATGAAATCACTTTACTTTAAGGCAGTGTTTCTCAACCTTGACAATTTTAAGGCATGTGGACTTCAACTCCCAGAATTCCACAGCCAGCAATGCTGGCTGTGGAATTCTGGGAGTTGAAGTCCACATGCCTTAAAATTGTCAAGGTTGAGAAACACTGCTTTAAGGTATGCTTGCTTTAATGTAAGAACAATAGTACAATACAATAATTATTTTTAAGGTTCTGGTTTGAATTCTGTTTTCCATATTTCATACCTTTTCTGTTTGTCTCATTGTTTATCTCTCCATTACATTCTTCTTTTTGTTTTCCTATAATTAGACTTCTTCTTTGTCAAAGATTCCTGCCTCAAAAGTTAGAGCAAAATCATTGCTTCCTCCAAGACCCAACTCTGCTTGTTCACTAATCACCACTAAAAAAGTTGTTTTGCGCAGTAAAGACAATTATATTGCGTGGCCCTCTTCAGCGGGCCCAAGGGACTATTCAAAAACAGCTCAGGTAAGGCAGTTGAGGTAGAACAAGAATAAAGACAAATTCCCACATCTTTAATTTTTTCCTTCACTACGGAATATGGATATCTTATCTTGATATCCTTTTTCCCAAATGAAAAAGAACTGCAGTATGTAAGTTAGAAATGGAATCAAATCAGTTTATGATATCAACAGTTCCAATGTGTCACTTCTCCTGGTTCACCTATAAGATCTATAAAAGACAATTAATTTAGTCATTCCTCACCACAGATCACAAGTGATGAGAAAATTCAGTGGTGATAATACTCTTCCCATAAAACTGTTTTTGAAAAACAGTATGAGAGAAGGAACAGGAAGAAATGCAAAGGCTGATTTACAGATTCTGGCAGGCTGGCAAAGCAAACTTCAGAACACCAAGAAGTGCCAGGGGTGGAACCCTGTGAGGAAGGCACATCACTGAGATGGAGCTGAGTTGTGATTTCATAGGATGCCAGACTGTGGAATTTGTTGCCCTGATAACTGCCAGTATTAGAACTTAATTTACAAATCAGAAAAATAAATTTGATTGTTCAAAAAGCTTAATATATTGTTTGATTCTATTCAATATCTACACATTTCATAAGATGCATATAGCGGTAATTGTCATCTTATGAGCATTCATTCAGCAAACCATTCAAAATTATGATAGCGCTGAATGAAGAGACATACAGTCCCTGCCTGAATTTAAAACCAATGTAGTACCGTCATGGTCATGTGATCAAAATTCAGGTGCTTGGCAGCTTGCCTACTCTTGGGAACACGGCTACTGCCCCCTCCATGACATGGGCTGGAAGACCTAGGCCCACAGGGATGGATGCAGAAACCTGATACTCACCAGAAGACTCAGGAGTGGGGGGGAGGGGGGAAGGCAGGAGGCCTGCACATCACTGAGCCTAGCTGGTTAAGGTTTCTGGGAATGCAGGAGGAGGCAGAATGCCTGCATGACGCTGAGCCTAGCCAGTTGAAGCCTTCTGACCTGCAGCAGATTTCTGCATGCTGGCTCATTTAATGGCCCGGGTAGTTGCTTAACGACCACAATGGGAATACCTGGGATTGTGGTTGCTGAGCAAGACAGCCACATGGGTGTCTTTCTTAACAACCACAAAGATTTACGACCAACATTCTGGGCTCAATTATGATCATAAGTCGAGGACTATTTGTAGTAGGTTTAGGCCATTTGCTGCAATAGAAGAGCCCTTGCCTAAAAACTCTGGCTATTCCAAGCCATTTTTGTATGTCGAGAAGTCACTCTTCCCCTGTTTCCAAGTACTGAGTGAGGGGTTGTTCCATTTAGCTTCAGTGTGTACGTCTGTATGTGAGTCTATGAACATATGTTCACAGCAGGGAGGCAAACTTTCTTTTTAAATGCAAATAAAATAAGGCTGTACTGATGCAGTCAGAGCCAAATTAAGTCAACTTTCTGCCCTCAATCTTGGAGTTTACCCTTTTTCCTCAACAGCTTCTGTACTATTGTACTATCCTGCTATAGTGTAACATTCCCTTATGGCTTGAATGTGAACAAAATTAGCCTGGAGCTGAATACCAAGACATGTTTCAAACCAAAATGCTTCCTGTTTTTTGCATCAGGATGGAATAAGCAAGAGTCCTGAAAAGCGCTCCTCTTTACCAAGACCTTCTTCCATTTTACCTGCCCGAAGAGGTATCTCAGCAGACAGAGAACGAGATGAAAATTCTTTCTCCCTGAACAGCACCATCTCATCTGTACGACGAACTACAAGTATGTCTCTTGCCCAGACTTAAACTTGGAGGCACAAGCTCAGGGTTCTCTAATCTATTTTGAGTTAGACAACATTTTTGAAATTTTGAAAGCATGTTATGAATAATCTTACAATAATTATGCTATGATGGCCCCAGGCAGTCTCAAAAATTCCCATTTATCAGAAGGCAAACTAGGACCATTATTCCCTGTAACCTTATAAAATGCAATCTGTTCTTTTGGTTTAGACACCTAGAGTTTATGTAAGACCCAGAAATGTTTCTGGAAACAAAAAAAAAAAAAAAATGCATTAAAATGACACTTTTTTTACAATATGTTAATCTCCATTTAATTTTTTTAAACTAAAAGAACGAGATGAGATGAGATGAAACATAGAGTCTGTCTGGCTTCAAAAGAAATGTTTATGGATGCATTGGTGGCCACATTGCCATGTTGAGGAAATAGGTTTTAGACCAGAGATTATATCTAAATTAGACAGCAACCAGTTTCTGCTCAGCTGTGTTTCTAGTGTAAGAGGAATGTGTTATATATTACCAGATAAGAAGATCAGAAAAAAAATTCTAGATATACTATAAAATATGGATTTTTTTGTAACTGGATACCTTTAAAAAAGCTAAGAAAATTCTGTGTTTAGGAAAAGAGAAAAGTTCAGCAGAAAAAAGGTACTCCCTGGACATATCCTAAGTTTCTATTTGTATGGTTTATACCAGTTCCTTGAAATATTTGATAGCATAATTTTAAAATATATGAAAAAAAATGCTTTGCATTTTGTAATATTTAGCATTTTCATTTAGAGAAGAAATTTCCCAATTTATGAAGAGATTCTAAATTTTAAGCATAATTTTAATTTAGAGGTACAGGCAGGACTATTGAATCTGAGCTGCAAAAATCCAAATATCCGCTAATCAAGAGTGAGTTTTCTGTGTCTTTTTCCTGTCATTAAATGACTGCCAGATATTTGCAATCCAGCACTGATAGTCATAGGGAGGGATGAAGCAAGGAGCCAATGGAGATATTGGAGATCAAAGTCTGCATTAAGCTTCAAATCAACTCTAACTCTCTTTTTTATTGATTTCCCCTTGGGGACATTAAGCTATGAAAGATATAATTACAAATATCCAATATTAATGATTTTTAATTTGCTTTACATCCTAACTGGTTTGTACTCCATGATAATCTTGTCATTTAGTGAAATATTGTTCAATTTTAAGTGTCACACTGATCTTCAGAAAGTTTTAGTAAAGACTGAATATTTTTGTGATCAGGTTCTTTTATGAACAATTAGATGCCAGTTCTCTCTAGGAAATGGTATGAATATCATAGAACAAACAGAATTCTGTTATCAATACAGGATCAGAGCCTATTCGAAGCCGAACAGGAAAAAGTGGTACATCAACTCCAACTACTCCAGGATCAACTGCCATCACTCCTGGAACCCCACCAAGTTATTCTTCTCGTACCCCAGGAACACCTGGTACCCCTAGTTATTCCAGAACCCCACATACACCGGGTACGCCCACATCTGCAATTCTGGTACCCACTGAGAAAAAAATTGCTATCATACGCACACCTCCGAAATCTCCAGGAACCCCTAAGCAACTTCGTCTGATCAATCAACCTCTACCAGATCTCAAGAATGTCAGGTCCAAAGTTGGGTCAACAGACAACATCAAGTATCAGCCTAAAGGGGGGCAGGTAAGGGTTTTTATTCTAAATTAGTACATTTAGAAAGGATTGAGAAGAATATGCAGTATTGACTTGTAGCTTCCAAAGGCATTCTTCATTAATTACAGTACACTTCTAATTCTGTTCTGATAGTAATTGGCATCTAATTATTCATGCTTCTTGTTGCATTTGTTTAGCTTTTTCCCTAGCGGTAGATTTGAATGTAGAAGAAGTCAGTATCCTGTATTAGAAAAAAGGCAATTACTTCTGATAAAGTTAAAAGAAAATCTGCAGAATGGAAACTTCCTTTAAACCTCACTTATAAACTTCTAGAGGCTGAAGTTAACCACTTAAATATTTTTGTTTTATAATCTGACTTTATGCTGATAGAGGGATAACTCTGTGAAATACATTGGTATAATTTGCCTAAGATGCAAATTGTGCTTTATTACTTGTGAAATTTTATATGTATTTTATATGTATTTTATTTTGTTTATTTTTGAATTGCTTTTAAATGATGGTTACAGATTGGAGTTCCAAATATCTGGACATTCCATAATTGGTAAAAATGTCAGAATGTGTATACACTAAGATTTCACAATTATTTATATTGAATGATCAAGTGTGCTTCATTCATCAAAAATAATTCCATATTATGATGCTGTTTTATTTGGCCTCTCAGAAAAATGTCATGCAACTTCATATTGCTATAATAATATCTTCTATCCGCTTGTTTGGGATGCTTTCATGAGAGAATCCTTGACATCTGCATAGAAGGATTAAGAAACCAAAGGAAGTATCTACTACCAGGAGAGTTCTGTTACCTGTAGAAGAATAGCAGAAGCTGCAGCAAACCTCCCAATACCCCAACTGGTTCAATTTGAGGGTTGCATTGCCTTCTTCCTGATAGGGTTATCTTCCTCAAGTTCTGCTGGGAATAGAAAGCATAGTTGGTTAAAGAGCATTAAACACTGATGTGATACTTGGAGATCAGCATCATGCCTCAAAAGCTCTTGGGTCAGACTTTTCACACTTTCTGATTCTCCAGATTCTAATTATTTGATTTTATTGATTTACAAATACAAACATCATTTGGTCTCTTACCTCAGACCTTTTCTTGTATTGGACCCTTAACATGTCTCTCTGCTGCTTTTGCCCTTTCCCTTTAAACTTTTATATTTCACAATCCATTGTAATATATATTTAAATCAAGTCTAAATTCTTTCAAGGTATCTTTACTTTTTTTTCAGACTGATTTTGATATTCAAGAATTAAAATCAGTATATTTGTATTTTTGCAAGTTTAATAGCACAGAAAGTCAACTAATCTCTCCCTTGAAGCCTTCAAGCTGGCATATAGCTAAGTACCACAGTTTCTTACTTAACCTTCCACTGATTGACAAATATCTTTCCCTCCTATCCACAAAAATAGAATATAATAATATGCCACAGCAGATGATCCACAATCATTTTGGTAGAAAATGCAGACAGCATACCATTGCTTAGATGATAAAGCATAAATCTGGATAGAAAAGTCCTCATTGGGTACAATAAGGCACTTACAGTGGCATCTTCACTTAAAGATTTTTCTGAATGACTGTGGCCATAGGAACATGTTACTAAGGTGAGTGGGAGAGGAAAAAAGAAAGAAAATCCATTTTGAGCAATATCTACACAAATACGAGGACATTGGAGCCTCTTTGAAGCTGCTCTTTTTCTCTTGTGCACTATTAAACTGAGGACAGAAACTAAAGACAGGGTTGTATGACAATTGTCTCTTATACAAATAAGATACCCCCTTGGGTTGCTAAATTAGCATCACGGCAAATGTTAACGGTTAAAAAGTTCTACAACCACATTGGAAGGAGCTATAGAAGAAGGCATATATATCCCATTGCAGATGGGAAAGCTGCAGCTTTAAGTGCACAGCCAGCATGTAAGGTAATGTACTGGGATTATTCCAATTGACTCAAGTGTCCAAAGGGGGTATTTCATCCAGAAGAAACAGTTAGGAAAGACCATTCTCCATTTACATATAGCTGAAGAGATGACTCTGCATGACTGTAGAATTGACTGTACCCTCCAACTTGGTGATGGCAAGCAACAACAAGAGTGATAGCATGAAGGGCCAATCTGACATAAGCAGCAGTGGTGACAGTAATCTGGAAATAACTGATATTGGTATGCTGAAGAGTCCGGACAAGTATCAGTTTGGAAATAGATCAATGACATACCAAGACAACCAGCCTGCATCCTCTGGCTGTCATGTGAACTCTGTGGGATAGTGGTCAGTTTGGCCATCTCCTTCACTCTGCACTCTGGACATGAAAGTTAGAGGATCTGGAGTGTCCAGCCTATGGCAGCCCCGTTTCTCTGGTATCATTACATCTAAAAGACTAAGGAGCAAACTAAATTGATGATAGAGATTTGGGTAGATGGGAATTGGAGTTTCCTGTCCCTTTTTAGGAGAAAGAATGAGGGGAGAGTAGAAGCATTTCTGGTTGATTCTGTTGGTAAGGGTATAAGAAAGGTTTTTATTTTTTATATTTTCAAATTTTCACCAGGTACCTGGGAGAGCCATGAGATGGTGTTGTGTATGGATGGATAGAAGGGAGTAGAGAGACTGTCTGGCTAGGTTTTGGTTGCTGAGTGCTTTGCAGAAGCATCTCAGATCATTCAGTTTTTTGAAGGAGCATGCAATCGAGTATATGGTGGCTCCTTTGACCTAGGGAGGAAGGGTGAGATATAGAGCGATGGATGATACGAAGGAAGTAAAGGCAAGCAGTGACATGACAGTGTGATGGGCATAGGAACACATCTGGCAGGAAATGGGGGTGGGCCATTCTTGGGAAAGCATTCTTCATGCCTGGTACTGATGCTTCATTCCAGTCACTTTGCCCCACCCAAAGGCCTGTTCTTTGGAGTTTTGGAAAAAGTTCTTCCAGACAATAAGGATTACCTTTCAAGAAAGTAAGAAGTATCTGAGATGATGTAGTGATGCTTCCTCAGTGTTAGATATTGTGGCTGCAACTCTCCTGGCTATTGAAGTGAACTGCTTTTCTAGGAACTGCTTTCACAATCAGTTTGTGGAAATCAAGAGCATGCAGCTGGAGTTTCATAACATGAACTGAAATAGCCATGCCAAAAATAAGAAAATCCAATATAAACTGATATGACAACTAACAGTCTAAAGAGATAGAGATGCTATTTAGAGTGTCATTGAGAGATAAACTTGCTTCTTTCACCAGAAGCATACACTAACCTAGGAATGCACTAACCCATGCACCCTGTCTCTCTTTCCTTTGGAAATACAGTAATATTGTCACAGTCCCAACAACTGAAAGTGCTTACATAAAACAGTAAGAAGTTGCTTATTAATAAATCAAAATATAGAGTTGCATAATTCCCATCAGTAGCTAGTCAGTTAATAAATCTGTTTAACTTGTCTCTTGATCCCAGCCTATACATGCAGATACTGTAACTCTGATTCTGTTAGCACTTTCACACAGCATAACTGTCTGACAACAAAAAAAATGGAAGTTTAAAAAAGCTTGAAAAGACTTACATGTCAACTGAGATCTCATACTTTATAATTGTATAAATTATAATAAAAATAATAGAGTAAGGTGAAGTTTCCCCAACTGTTAATTGAAACAAAACAAAGGCATTTCAAGTTCTGCTAGCTTTCTGAAAGAAACCATTCTGACCACAAAAGAAAAATAAATAAAAAATGGCTATAACGTGCAAAATGGTGAAGGAGAAAGGATCAATAAGCCATCAGTTTCTCAATCAGGATGAAGGTATCTTTTGCTCACAGCCAATTCCCCTGCTAGTCAGTTCATGGAGTCTCCTTCTTACTGAATGTAATCATCAAAAGTGGCAGATAAGGAACTGCATTCTTAAACAGTTTAAGCACAAAAACTTCAGTCCTGTGGCTGCTGATAGCATCAGGGGAACAGTTCTAGATTTTCTGCTTTGCTAATACTGCAAATTTTTTATATTGTATGATTTAAGACAAAAAACAAAGTGAAGTACAACCCTACTACCAACCTGGTTATGCATTCCAACAAGTCCAACCATCACATTCTTCATACTGGCACGTCTTTGATGGTACGATGCACAGCAGAAAAGTGGTACAGGGAAGGCCTGAGAGGAAACGTGCACTTCTGCTAATCTTCCTACGCAAATGTATCCTAATCCAATGACATTTTAATATTACCCATCATTTTTTAAAAAATAAATAGTTTTATATAACAGAATTGAGCTTGGTTAATAGTTGAATGGGAGGTCACCAGAAGATATGTACTGCTATGGTCTAGACTAGGAAATTGAAAATATACCCCAGAATGCATTGCCAAACTAGAGACATGTCTATATAAATCACTGAGGACCCAACTCAACATGAGGGCAACTTTAAAAACAAACAAACAAGCACTTATTCTTCTTCAGGGCATGCTGAGGAAAAAGCAGCCTCTCCTTGTCACATGTACAGTGTGGTTCTCTTTGGTGTGAATGATATGTTTCAGAAGAATCTAATATGCTGTCTATCAGGAATGGGAAACATGGAGAGAAAGAGCTTTTGAGGGCTTAATGATTGGCAAGGAAGCCCAAAGAAAGTCAGGAGAGAAGTTCGCTGTACATACACAGCCCTTTTCTTCCTAGACCCCTCCCCCCCATCCCTCATTGGTTGCTATTTTTTCTTAACTGTGATTATGTAGATAAATATAGAAGAAGTTATGTAGATAAATATATTTCTGGTTTTAAATTACAAAGTTTTTAAATTATAAAACGTATCATACCACAGGAATATGCTTATGCTCCGTGGGCAGCTAGAGAAGCCTCTGAAAACCACACACTTCAGCTGAGGTATATGTCTCCTTGTAAAATTTGGTTTTGATTTTTAGCAAAATGACATACTTTCCATCAGGGTTTAGAAAATTGAGAGGCATAAAATGACCAGAACTACCCCATAGCATATGCTAATTTTTTAATGTGAAGCACATTGCATCATATCCACAGCAATTGAGATGATCAAATGTGGAGCTACAGTTCAGATGTTTATAGGAAGGACAGAATAACACACATTTCTGATGGGGTTTAAAACAGGTGCCCATATAACTTCATCATGGCAATGCAACCAGAATCTTTAAAAATCAATATTTGGGGACGGGGAGAGATTTTGTTTTGGGCTTTTGTATTATTTATTTTAATAGAATATGATAAAACTACAGTATTAAGAGGAAAAACAGTGATTATGCAGAGAAACTAGCTATATTATAGGAATTAAAATATACTAAATGTGAAAACTAATCAATAGGGAAAACTAATATAATATTAATTCACATCTTAGCTTAGCATTAAATCTAACCTATATCCAATAGAAACAGAGAGGCTTTTCAGAAACATATAACACTCTTATCCTGAATCCATTACTTAAAATCCATAAAGTATTTCTATTTGTGTAAAATTATCTGCTTTGTCATGCTTCATAATCAAAAGAATGAAAGTTCTTTATTAGATGACAGATTCCATGTTTTAGGAATGTAGTTCAATGTTACAAATTAATTGCAACACTGGGACCAATCCCCGCAATCTTTTTTTAACATTGTTTGAGGGGTCCCATAAATATTAAATAATATTTTCTGATGAATTGATTGATTTTAAATGATAAGATACAATCATTTTATGTTTCTTAATGCCTGGATTCTTTGATTCTTCAAAATAGGCAATTCTACTGCTTAATTCCACATTTCAGTTAAATAATTAATAGTGACTTTTTTATGTATTGGGGTTCTCAGCATTGAAGCGACACACAAGTTGTTAACCAAGTTCTTCTTTACTTGTTACACGTTACCACTTGCTCACCCAACAGGCTGGCAGGCCTTTTATAGTTTTCCCAACATCCAATCATAAATCCCCTTTATTCGTGCCTTGCGCCTGCGCACAAGACCGGCGCCAACCAGTCTGGTCCCGGGCAGCTTTTAGGTTGCCCGGGACCATTTGCAACATTTCTGGGCCTGCTGAGTTTCCTCAGCAGGCCCAGGACACAACAACTTTCATTTTATGTTATCATTTCCTTAGAATGAAGAATGAAAAGAACACAGTATCTGAAAATCCTTAAAATAACTATTAAAATCACCTGATTTAGAATTTTGGGTCATTTTACAATAATTGGATTAGATTGGGTTATTCCATAATGCCAAACACTCACATCTATCTTTCAGGGCTGGAAGAGAAGATCCCTGTTTCTGGACTGTAAAACTTGCTAAGATTCCAGAGGTATTACACAGTTACTCACCAATTAGGCTAAAAGCTATAAAACACCTCATTCTAAAAGAATAAAAAAATATTGATGTTAATATAAAAGCCCAATGATGAATTGAAAATCTGGTAAATTAAAGTATTTTACGTTGATCTCAATTTGGTGAGTCAAGGGAGTTTAGCTTGATATAAACATTTTTTCATCTAGTAATGAGAAAAGTAGCTAGTAGAAATTAACTTTGGAATCCATCTTAAAATATATATTAATATCAATGTAATATTCTTTTTGATAGCATTAATCTTGATTAATTAATTAATTAATCTTAATTAGAGTTTTAATCAAGCTATAGTTACTGAAATTGCACCTATTGCATTTAGATATAGATAATTCAATATGTTGTAATATATTTTGAGAAAAATACAAATCCAGACATTTTAGAGAACCCATATAAATTGTAAATCCAATCTCTTGCAATAATCTATAGCTATAGTGGATCCCAATGCTAGCAAATTAGGTTTGTTTCAACTAGTAGTATAACCAGAGTGTAAACATATTGCTGTTTATAAAGCAATAAACTGTGGTAATGACATTGTACAATTCTCAAGGATAGTCATAATATCTGCATATAAGAACAATTTATATTCAATATCGAATGCAAACATACTGTTATTATGTTGAGATTGTCTAATAGAAATAGCCAGTAGTTTAAGAAACACTAAATTGAAGATTAAAAGAGATAAGAAGCATCCTTGCTGAGTGCAATGATATAACTTGACAGGTTAAGAAACAAATTCATTTGTAATAACTTTAGCTATGGGACAAAGATATTAGTTTCCCAGGAAATTAATAATTTGCTATTCAGTTACAAAAGCCCCTAATTGACATAATTCAGTATAAAAATCAAAACCCTGATAGTTGACAAATTCAACCTGGATAATATCTGTCTTATCATTGATCTGAAATCCCAGTTATAAATTTTTGTCAATTTTCTTGTTTCAAACAATAATCCATTTTTGTAGCTTTCTGTCAGATTCTCAGTATTTCCACTCAATATATTTCAGGGAGAATTGAAATTGTTCTTTGCCTTCAATTTAAGCTTTGCTGCTACAAATACGTGATATGATTTGTCTGTGAGATTTCTAACATATGACAACAATTAATCTTTAATCATCTTTTCTATTTTTATTTAGGGGAAAGTAGTCAGAGAGTTTTAAATGTATCCCAGATAATTTATTTATTGGTAGAGTCTTGCATTTTTTTTAAAAAAGAATAAATTCCCTTCTTAATATGTTCTAGAAAGAGAGAATGCTTTAGAAGAAAAATATTCAAATATCATCTAGAATTGACCAATCCATAATTGTTAAATTTCACAGTTATCTTTAAAAATGAAGATGTGTAGCTATTAATGAATTTAACTACTGTGCTCTCTTTGATTTCTCTCCCATGATGGCTAATTGAATGTACCAATGTCCTGAAATTCTGCATTCCCTAGCTATCATCCTTGTCTTAGTATTTGTTGCAGTAGTTTAGGAAGGTGAGAGATGGAAGAAATTGGTTTAGCAAATTTTATCTAATTTGCACTTTCTCAATCTATACCTGAACAAAAATGCAGCTGTGTTTCAAGAGCTTTATTTTTTCAATTTTTGCAGTTCATTCCTCTAATTTAAAAATGCATTTGAAATTCATCTAAAGAAGGGAACTCTCCCACTCACATTCATAACTAGTATGTGATGTCAGGTAAAATTAGATGATCTCCAACTTAATATTTTAAAAAAGATTCAGAAAGACAACCATAGACTCTTGGGATCATCGAGATGGAAAGGATATAAAAGGTTATCAATAAAAGTCAGCTGCACATCTTCACTACCCCAGTGGGTGTAGGGGTTCTACCAGAGCTCCCCTCTTCAATTGCTCTGCATTCTAAAATAGCACATGGGAAAAGTTAGCACATGGATATTGCTCTATATGTTGAGCCTCCATTTTGTTGGCAGTGTCATGTTCTATAACTTTCAAAAGAAATATGAAATAAGCAAAGACAGCAGAAGGGACCCTGAAGGTAGTGAATTAACATTGAGAGTTGTGTGCCCTTGTTTCAAAGAATAATCCTTGAGGTATAGATGAATTTTCATAAACTTTCTACAAAACTGCACACACATACACACACACACACACAAAATTCAAAATAGTGTAGCAGGAAGGAAGCAGGAGAAAGATATGAGCATTTAACATTTTTATATTTTGGAAATTTTCTTTTTGTTTAAAACAGAGATCCAGTAATTTTAAATAGAAGTGTAGGTTTTACTTTATTTTAATTATTATTTTTTCTATGTTATAATAATTGCAATATGCACAAGAGCATTTATATTCTTATATCTGGCCATTTCAATTTAAATTTACCATACATCCTGATGATTATGCCTTTTGCCATTTATAAAACTGGTAAAATCATGCCATTCCTAGTAGAGTAATGATTTCCTACGTGTATTTTTGTAATTTCTTGTGAGAAAGGCCCATGCTTGCCTAGAAGATAACCAAACTGTCCTTTCTGTATATAGTGGCATCTTTTATATCTAAATAAGATATATACAATGTATGTACATACCAGAATATTTGATGAGTTGATTGTATAGTGTAGTTTTTTATTGTTTGCTGTTTAATGAAGAAGAAGCTTGCCATTTTTTAAACTGCAAGATTCCATCACAGTCACTTGGGTAAATAGAGACTGATAAATACTCACAGACCTTTTGATAAAGGGATGTAGTAAATGTGGCACAAAGCCCAAAGGAAATTTCATTTCATTTCATTAGCCACCTTTCTAGAAAAGTATTTCAGTGTTTGATTTGTACCAAGGACAGAAGAAACTGTGACACTTTCAAAACCAGTATCTATCTATTCCTGAAATACACGGAATAAGAATATAGTCACCCTTGATTGTATTTACCTATGAAGCTGAGGAAAGACTGGTCTAAGAGCTGCTTTCAGAAAGATTTCAATCCTGTAATCTCTCTCATTTAGGTGTTGTTGCTTTCCCTTGGAAGTGAGGGCAATGCCAAGCAAATATTCTCTTATTGTCTTGCTCTGTAATTTTAATTCATAAATGGAAAACTCTGGTTTTTTGTTTTTGTTTTTTGCAACCCTAGTCACAATCATGTGCACAATAGATTCAGACAAGGACATGCTTTTGCTCCTGAAATATTGTTCAGCAGCCATAAAACTAAAAAAGTCTCCCCAACTAACAGCATACCGCAATGAAAAAAAGAGAATACCCTTAGAATTTTGTTGAAAATCTACCCCAGATTGTAAAGAAAAGGCACAAAGCTTAGACAATTATAAAATAAGTTTTAAAACATGTATACATACTTAAAAGTTTTGGAACTTTTAAATAAACCTTTGTGGCATTTAATTTTCAAAAAGGTTTTTATATTGGCAGCCTCAGGAATCCTGCTTGTGGTATGTCAGGAAAAAGAAAATCAGAAATGCTTCAGGATCTCAGGAAAGATACAGCTCTGATTTCAAGGCATGGACAATCAAATGGGATAAAAAATCCAAAGTTTGTAATTAGAAATAGTAACATAATTGGAGATCAGGAAGAGAGGTGGTTTTTGAATGTTAGGCAAGAGTTGTTCACAAAGCAAAAACTTTAAAAAAATGGAGGGAGAGGGGGAGGACACCATGCATGCAGTTCCAAAAGCTCAGCTGTGCAATGACAGATCTTTTCTGAAATAATGACTGAATAAGCAATCATTCTGCATGTTACTAGCCAGTCAAGAATAAGGATCTGGTCCTCTAAGTCTAAGGATTTGGGTTATCATGTGGGCAGAAAGACACCATGTCCTCTCTTCTAAAATAGAGAACTATTGACCAGGTAAAATATATGACAGTTGAGATCCTTAATTTCATTCAAATATATCCAAGAAGGTTTTTCCCCTAAAATTGTTCCGTCTGTACATTTAACAAGTGTTCCAGATGTCTTTCTATTCAGCCCTCAGAATGCCCAACTTATGGACAATAGCCTTCCTTTCTGTGCATCTTTCCTATATATCTTTCTCCTCCTCCAAGTTTCCCAAATGATGAAAAGCTGGTTTGAAACGTCCAGTGTTATTGGCACTGTTACTCTATTGGTTAACTGTTCTGTAATTCATGAGGAAAGTCTGTTTTCCACATGAGAGATTTCTTCTTTCCCCTTCTTCCCTTAAGTAATGCCATTTTCTCCTTTCCCGAGACTTCGTGTCTTCTACTTCACAGGACTTTCCCTGACCAGCATTTTCTAAAGCTGACTTTCCTTCATTCCCTTTTTTAACCACTCAGCTCAGAAAAGGACTTGAATGCAGATTTAGACATTATAGCGTAATTTTGCACCCTGATTTTCAGGATCATGAAAGCCAAAGAATATGCTTAATAGTAAGATAACCTCCAATTCCTTTTAGGTTAGGATTTTAAGCAAGAAGATTGATTTTAGTGATGTACAATCCAGATGTGGTTCAAGAGATAACATCAAACATTCAGCAGGGGGAGGAAAAGTAAGTAGAGGTGGTACCTTACATTGATCTCCAGAGACTGTGGGGAACCCACGCTTTATGAACTAGCCCAGTGATGGCGAACCTTTTAGAGACTAAGTGCCCAAAACTGGCCCCGCCCCTGCTCCACCCCCTGCCCCACCCCTGCCCCCGCTCTGCCCCACCCTGCCTGTCCGCAGGGCCACTCACCATTTCCAGGGCCCGCTGCAGATCGCCCAGGCAGCCCAGCAGCACCAAGCGGCCACGCCCTCTGCCCACACCCTGCAGCATCAACTGGGCGCGGTGGGGCATGAGGGCAGAGTCTTGTCTATGCTGCCTGGCTGCCATGTCCTTGGCTGCGCTGCTCCACATGGGCCACGCTCAGGGGTGACTCTCCTTCAGAGAGGCTGCTGGTGAGAGGGGGTCGTGGGCAGAGGCAAGGCTGGTGCAACGGCATGTGTGCCTACAGAGAGGGCTCTGACTGCCACCTCTGGCATCCGTGCCATAGGTTCTCCACCACTGAACTAGCCCATTAATCCTTTAAAGAAGATTGCTTCTCTTCTTGCTAATGTTTCACACATTAACTTGGTCTAATAATGCATCAGCTTTGTGTGCTGAGTGGGTATATCCTTCCTTCCTCAAAAAAACCACAGCAAGTTCTTAATTTCACTCAGAAGGACAAGAGCCAGGTTTTCTTCACAAAGCATCCTGTTCTGCAAGCACTTATGTAATGACTAACTGCAGTGGTTCTTCTGAACTCCATCGTTAAAGTTTGAAAGCAAAATGAAAAAAAAAAGAGTCTTATAAGTCCTGAGTTCTGAAGAAATAATGATGTCAGCAGAAAGTTACCATTGCTTGATTAAAATGTCAGATGTATTGTCACTGATTCAAAAGTAAGAGATATGATCACTCATTGGTCCCAATCTTACCAGATGCATTCATAGCCACTGAACAATGCATGTAAACTAGCTGTAAGATGATTTCACTTCACTGTGGGTGATATGTGAATCCAGGGCTATCTTAGGAGACACTTGCCTAATTCTATGGTTTGACCGTTTCAGCAAACTTATTTCAAGCACTCTAGTAAACACCTCTTAAATATTTTGACATATTTGACATGTCAAAATTATAGGACAATATTTCCACTAATGTTTCTCAGAAGCCAAGGAAGTTTATGAAATTACCTTAAGAAGAGAAAATTGTTCTGAGCAGAAAGTCAGGCAATGAAAATAAAACATCCTTGATTATCTAAAGAAAATGGAAGCTTTAAAAGACACGCTTCAACACACAGCACTGAGGCAAATCTTATCTTCATCTTTAAAAATAATCTCACTTTCCTGATTAATAACCTTACCTATTAATGAAAGAGATTTTAAATGATTCCACTAATTTACTCTTCCAATGGGATGTTTGCTGTATTAACCTGAATATCATTCCTTCTTGGTACCATTATTATTTATTTCTAATATTCTGTGTTTTTCAAACTAAACACTTACCTTTTCTATTTTTGTTTCTTCTTCCTACAGATATAAAATGCATATTTTTCAGTGTCTATAGCTCTCTATAAACATACAGATATATTTTGTATATTTCAAATAGGTGCAGATTGTAACCAAGAAGATAGACTTGAGTCATGTGACTTCTAAATGTGGTTCCCTGAAGAATATCCGTCATAGGCCAGGTAATGCTAAGATTTTCCAGACGGGAAATGGAATCTTGTAAACTCCAGAAATTCTGTAAACTTCTACAGTTTCATTTCTAGGCACTCTGATTCCAAAACCATGACTGGATGTTTGGGGAAAACTGCCTCCTCCATTTCCCTAATATCTGGTCTGTTGCCATTGCTACGTGGTAAGGTAGGAGGAAGGAAAGAAAAGAGGTCTCTAGCAAAGCCTATCTGTCAGCCCAGACACGTACAGTAAATGAGATGGGAGGAAGATGAGCCCTGCAAGAGCAGTCATAACAAAAAGCCTCCAGGGAGTAGATTGGTCATAAGCACTTCTCAGTGCATATTTTGCTGAATTTGTGTTTGTGAAACTTTTACATTGGTTTCTGAATTATGTGCTGCGTTATATCATTGAAGTACATGGAACTAAATTAGAAAAAGGTTAACTACACCAGTCTGGTAATGGGTCAAATGTGTGCTGAGAAAATCATACAAACAATATACCTAGTAGGTATAATTCACGAAGTTATTTTTTTAAAGGAAATTTTCTCTTTCTAGTAAAGCCAGGTAATTGCAGATAAATCATTTGAGTCAAATTTACCAATTTTTAAAATGGATAAACCAACATGAAGTAATTGATTGTACACATTTTCTAACATTAAAACACACATATTGCATATAATTAGCACTGCAGTGACTTAAATTGTGAATATCTATCTATCTATCTATCTATCTAACTATCTATCTATCTATCTATCTATCTATCTATCTATCTATCTATCTATCTATCCCTTCATCTATCTATCATCTAATTTATATCCTGGGGCACTTGTAAGTAATATTAGTGGTTTAGTTAAAACTAAATTGTTAAAAAGTTAAATAGTTAATAGTTAAAATAGTTTAAAATATATAGTACTGTACACAGAGACACCAAACCAATACCTGGCATTAACACCTCGGTGCTTTCCTGAAATGCTTCATCTTCAGCTATTTCTGGAGGACTGTTAAAGTTGGATCCAAATGAACCTTGGGTAGAAAGCCATTCCAGGGGGGATGCCTCTGGGCTCCCACCCACCCTCCCCAAAATGGAGGACAGTCAGTGCTTCTCTTGGCATGATTCAAGTGGCTGTGCCACCTGAAAGGGAGAGAAGTGGTCCTGCAGATAACCTGGCACCAAACTGTAAAGGCCTTTATATGTTAAAGCTGGCATTTTACATTGAGTTTGGAAGCTAAGAGGAATACGGCAGACAACCAAGATTACAGACTTGTAACCAAAACAAAGAGGTGCTTGAATAGTCTATTCAGAATCATCAATTTCCAACAAGTTACTGGGATCACTTCAAAACTGCAGATGTTGATTCACCATCCTATTTAATTTTTCAGTGTTAATGGTGAAGGACAGCCCAACTTTAGCAACTAATATATATATAAATATATTTCATACCTGCTGGAAACACGTTTGCCCCATACTATTTGGTTTCTCAGTTTTCTCAGTCGTTCCAAGAAGAATGGAACTGATGTCTATCCCTAAACGAATAAGACTAGAGTTAAAGAAACTTCACCCAAATTAAGCAGGTCATTATGTAGAGGTGGTTGAACCAAAGTAAAAAACCAGTGCTTCAGAGTGTTCAAGGGCAGTAATTGAACTCCTGTTTGAAATAGCTTTTAAAGCAGCCACACTTTTTCCTGGGACAAAGGCAACTTTTTGTGTTAAAATCTGATGCAGTACATAGCCCAACATTACCATTCTTACATCTTAGCAGAGAACCTTTTTAAAACCTGGAATTTTCGAACACCAATAAAAAACTGTACAATTTTCTTTTCAGATTGGGCAAGACCTGGCCTAAAAACAGTAACTGTGAGAGGGACTTTGGAATCCTAGTGGATAATCACTTGACTATGAGCCAGCAGTGTGCAGCAGCAGCCAAAAAAGCTAATACAATCCTAGGTTACATAAACAGAGGCATAGAATCAAGATCACACAAAGTATTAGTACTGCTTTATAAAACATTAATAAGACCACACCTGGAATACTGCAGCCAATTTGGTCACCATATCACAAAAAAGATGTTGAGAGTTTTGAAAAAATTCAGAGAAGAGCAACTAAGATGATCAAAGGCCTGGAGACTAAAACATATGAAGAACAGTTGCAGGACTTGGGTTTGGCTAGTCTAAAGAAAAGAAGAAATAGGGGAGACATGATAGCAGTATTCCAGTATTTGAGGGGCTGCACAAGGCAGAGGGGGCCAAGTTGTTCACCAAAGCACCAGAGGGAAGGACGAGAAACAATGGGTGGAAACAGATCAAAGAGAAGCAACCTGGAATTAAGGAGAAACTTCCTGACAGTGAGGACAATCAACCAGTGAAATAGCTTGCCCCCAGAAATCATGGGCGCTCCATCACTGGAGATTTTTAAGAGGCTAGACATTCACCTGTCTGAGACGGTATAGGTTCTCCTGCTTGAGCAGGGTGCTGGACTAGAAGACCTCCAAGGTCCCTTCCAGCTTCTATTCTATTCTATTCTATTCTATTCTATTCTATTCTATTCTATTCTATTCTATTCTATTCTATTCTTGTACTTTAATTATAAAATTTAGATTATGATCAAAGTATAAAAATAACTATATAGTTTACATGTGAATTCTGCTTCTTTGATTTCAGAAAAAAATCTGTTTCTCCAGAAAGTTACATTAATTGCATTGCTAGCATTGTATGTAAAACAACTTTGTAGGAAGAATATCTTTCAAAGGAGTAAAATACTAAAATATTCAAAGAAAAAATATTTAAAAATGGCTATACTGCAGTTGTTTGTTTATTTATTTATTTATTTATTTATTTCTGGGTATTTCCCAAACATTTTTTAAATGTAACTAGCTATAGGTATAAGCATGTTCATATTACGTATGCCAACTTCAAAGGGATGACAGAAATTAGCAAAATTATGATAAAATAACTATTGATTATTAGTTAAAATAGGGCAAGATGTGACTTGGCAGCTGAAAACATTACGAAAGATCTTTAAGATAAGAATCTCTATTATTACTCTTGCAATTGTCTCCAAATAACTTTTCAATGTCCTTTTTAAATATGAAAGTTAGTACAGAGGCCAAATAGCCCCCACCGGGATATTGTCCCAAATCATTCCGAGCAAAGATCTTTCCCTGGTGTCCTGGCCATCTGGGAGGTAGCTGGTCAATTCACTTTTCCTGCTTTTTGTTAATAGAGAACAGCCCAGTCCAATCAGGATCACAGCAACATAGTGTGTTTGCAAGGAGGTTTACTCCCAAACTGCCCAGAACCTGGAGAGGCAATGCTGCAGAAACACTTCTAGTTTTATGATGGCTGAAGTTAAATGACATACTGGAGTATGGCAAAGGTCACATAGTCTAAACCAAACCATATAATAAGTAGTTAAGATTTTCTTTATTAACCACAATTAAACCCATGACATGGGTTTAGAGTGCAGTAAGCCAAACCACAAAATATATAGCTCAAACTCCATTTGTAGGGTAGATATGGCAGATATATCTCATTTTAGCTAATAACAGTCATTTTAATAATAATAATAATAATAATAATAATAATAATAATAATAATAATAATGATGATGATGATGATGTTGGAAGGGACCTTGGAGGTCATCTAGTCCAACCCCCTGCTCAGGCAGGAAACCCTATACCATTTCGGACAAATGGCTGTCCAGTCTCTTCTTAAAAACTTCCAGTGTTGGAGCATTCACCGCTTCTGGAGGCAGGTTGTTCCACTGGTTACTTGTCCTGACTGTCAAGAAGCTTCTCCTTAGTTCTAGGTTGCTTCTCTTCTTGATTAGTTTCCACCCATTGCTTCTTGTCCTGCCTTCAGGCGCTTTGGAAAAACGCCTGAAGGCAGGCACTTTTCCAGTTTTAAGGCCCACTGTTGTAGAAGCTTTGTCTATAATTATGTGGATTGTGTGTATATGTTTACTTCTCTTTTGTCATGTTCTCATCATACGCTAAATAATATTTTTCAAATTGAAGTGCATAATAATCCATTACACAGTAGGTTTAAATGTTATTTAAATCCTAGATCCAGAAAAACTGTACTCTTTTAAAGTATTTTCCCCTCCCCCATAACTTATAGGAGGGGGTCGAGTGAAAATCGAAAGTGTGAAACTGGATTTTAAAGAGAAGGCCCAAGCCAAAGTTGGCTCACTTGAAAATGCTCACCATGTGCCTGGAGGAGGTAATATCAAGGTAAGACATCAGGGGCCAGAGACTTGGCAGCTTGTCAATATATTAATTTAATGGATTATCTATTCTTTTGTTTAATATTTTGGAGTTCTTCATAGTCATAGGTAAAAATGACAATGATTTACAGAGAGATAGAAGTTGCTACTCCCCCACTGTGTCCCCCATTAGGCTTGAGTTAACTGCTTAGCTCTTCCTTCAGAGGAGACTTTGCAAGAACAGGGAGATTCCCAAGGGTGAAAAGTCCCATCTTATGCCATATCCAAGTCCCAGAGATTTCCTGCCTCGTCTCTGAAGTCAAAGCTTTACACTGATCATTGGTTTATGTAAAAATACTTTCAGACTTACCTTCACTGACTGCATGTTTGACTTTGTTTCTTTTTTTCCCTGAAATCATTTCATTTTTTAAAAAAGCCCACATGTTAAATACAGAAATTTAACAGAAATTGATTTCCTTCTCCCTCTTTTAAATCTCCCCAGGGGGAAAAAAACATTTTACGTATTTATTTTTTATGTTCATATCAACCTCATTGATTTTTTTGTTCCCTACAAAGCTGAACTACAGTATATGATTCTCATTAACTATATTGTATAAGCTGGAGTATTTATTTTATGATTTAAACAAAAAAGTTAAAATATTATTTAAATCAATGTTTTAATCTTTTTAAAAGGAGTATACAGAATGCCCAAAGAGTACAAATTATCTTTAAAAAATTATTTTAGCCCAGAAAATCTGTCATGAATGAATCTGTCATTCAATTAATTTGGAAAGTCCGGATCAACAAAACTAAACTTATACTCCAACATTTCCCACACGATTCTTGCACATATCTTCATTTTCACTTAAATTTATTTAAAGAAAAATATGAATGGAGATTTCTGGTGATGAAATTAGGACAATTTCATAAAGAGGCTGAGCCAACGACACATCTGTAATCTGCTTTTGAAGTTTGACTAGGGAGGTATCATTCGAAGGTTGCCCCCCAAAAAACATTGAGAGAATTTTTTACAAGGAAATTAAAGTGAAATTGGTCTCAGGGGAGCTTACACCTCTATAGTTGCTGCATTTTATTTTTGCACTTTCCTTCCTTGCACAGATTGACAGCCAGAAACTCAATTTCCGAGAGCACGCAAGGGCCCGTGTGGACCATGGCGCAGAAATCATCACCCAATCTCCTGGCCGATCAAGTGTGGCTTCCCCTCGGAGGCTTAGCAACGTCTCCTCCTCTGGCAGTATCAATCTGCTTGAATCTCCTCAACTTGCCACCCTGGCTGAAGATGTCACTGCAGCCCTCGCTAAACAGGGCTTATGAATTTGCTTTGTTAGCAGTGTTTGAAGTTACAATTATTTAGGCATGATTTCTTGCCAGGAATGGGCTCTGAGCAGGTGTTAACATTCATTCTTTACTATGTCTAAAATTAAGTCACATCCCAAGACTGTAGTAATCATAAAATAAAAACTGGGGGAAAGAACCATATAGATGCAGAAACTGGCCTGATTTCCAATTACAGCAGGAAGATCTTGGCTTTTCTGTGGGTACAATAGCAGTATATTACATTGGACAATTATTGTCGCTCTGCTCTGTCTTGCATGGAGTATGTACTATGATAACAATGCATTTTGACCTTCCATGTGCCTGAAGGCCATCCTTTACTTTCTGAAGAGTCTTTGTTCAATCCCTTGAGTTGCTCCTTTAACCGTTTTGTTGATGGATGGAATTAAGAAGCATCTCCACTTGTAATTTATCAACAGGTTAATTTAAGCAGGAGAGTCTGAGGACCATGCAGAAGGGCAAATATAGTGATGTCAACACTTCAGAAAGGGTGGGGTTATTTTATATACATGGGTAGAAGAAAGAGGCAATTAAGTTATTAACGTTGTGGAAGTTGGATGATTATGTCAGTGTATAGCTGATTACAATAAATTATTTAACTAATAAGTAAGTAGTGGGGGGGAATTCATATGAGCTGTACTTGGGGAAGCAGCATTTTTTTCTTTTTTAAAACAGTTACTGAAATTAAGCTATGGAGTTGTGTCAGATTAGAATATTGGTTAAGCATCTAGGTTTGTGTCTTCACTACTGGTTTCATGTCCTCTCCCATCTGTTTGATACAGTATTTTATATATATATATATATATATATATATATATATATATATATATATATATATATATATATATATATCTGTGTGGGCATTTGTGATACCCCCCCTCATACTTGAATATTCTAATTCTTTATTCACAGTATCTGTGTCTCTTGCACCCTTTGGTGTTGCAATTTTAGGTCTGTAAAAGTAGATGTTAGCAGGGATTTTATTTCCCTATTCAACCTTTTACACATACAAAAAAAAAAAAGATTGTTTAGCATGAAATTGCTTTCTGTAACATCTCAAAATGTGACCCTGTTTTAGTGCCAGATGCGAGTCTTTCTGTGATACTAGAAAAAGTCTTTCTTTCTTTCTACCTGTCTTTCTTTGTTTTCTTTGCGATTACTGACTTTTGTATTACTGATCTTTCCCCCTTTCTTCCTGCTTTCCTGCCTTCCTGCCCTCCCTTCTCTCTCCAAAACTGTAGTTTTGAATTTGATTATTTAAAAATATCATTTAGAATAATTATTTTGTCCTACCTTAAAAAACACTGAAGTACAAGTGATGTTTTTAAATTATTTATTTTTTCTTTTGCTAAAGTTGAAACTCCAAGAAACAACAGGGAGTCTTTTCAGAAGTGATTTCATTTTTACAAATTACATCTTTGCATTGATGTACTTGGGCACCTCAGTAGAACAAGGCTCTAGAGAGTTGCATTCATAACATATATTGATTCCTGATATGTAAGCTCCCTAGGTAGGATAACCAAGGTGATGGACTCATAATCTTCAGAAACAATATAAAAAGTATATGACAGTGTTTCTAATAAGAGAAAAGGCACTTAATTTGGAGTGTATGGGATTTCCAGCATTACTACATGGAAATTAAAAGGACACGCAAGATGGTTTGGTAATGTGATGCATAAGTGGACCACTGTCTACTCATGTAATATATGCTAGTTTTGACTACATGATAATTGTTACCTATTTTACCCTGCAGTTTTATGGCATTTTCCTTAAAATCACCTATATTACATTTGCATGTTCTCAAGCTGACCTGTATGTAAATGGTTCATTAGGATGGCTTTGTGTGTTGGAACCTGTTGGACAAGGGCTACCTCTTAAACATTTTAATTTACCTAGTATGTCTCAAGAATGATGCTTCAATTATTTTCAAAGAAAAACATCAACAATGCAAACAAACAAGAGGCTCATATCATTATAAAAGCTAACAAATGTATCACTGTGTACAATCTCATAAGATGCATGGAGCTGGCTCTCATTAGATCTATTTATTAGATGCAAAAATGTGGTTCTTTGCACTTCTCCAGAATTGTTTTGTAATAGCTATAGGGTTATATTGGATCCTAATTTTAAAATAGAGCCTTAATGTCAAGCTCTTATTTGTAAATGAATGGGAACAAGTAAATTTGTGTACTTGTTCAGATGATATAAGGATAGACTAATGCATAAACAGTCTGACAGGTTACATCTTAGAAGCTGCCTCATATTAAGAGCCTGCTGCTTATAATGCAGTCATGTAGGCTTTTTCGTTTAAAGTTAGCCTGCAGTTAAAAGGACTGTTTTACTCCATGATTGCTATGATATTTGGAATAACTGTATAAGTTCAAACACATCATTGATTACAGATATTAGAATACCCCTGCTGGATCAGAACAAGAGAGCCAATCTTGCTGTGGGCTCCATGCCATTGCTTTAAAGAAATTAAGTCAAAAAGAGCAGTATTTTTAATGAAATATTGTCACTCTGACTCTGTGCTGTTGGTTCTTACAGAAGCCTGAGTTTTTATGTCTTTTTTCCAATCTTAGAGCAAGAGAGCATCCAAGGCTCTACTGAATCTGAGGTGGACAATGCTAAGTGTCAGCCAGTCAGAACAGTGTTTAATCTGTGACTATTTTGTAATCTGCTTTTTTGAGATATAAACACATTCTAGATGATAAAGTTGCTTACCAAGCATATGTGTCCAAAGTCATTAATTCCACGTTGCAGTTGTATCTTACCTTGAAGCTAAGTGCTTGTAATCATAATTGTCTTTCCATAGAAAGAATAGCAAAAGCTGATGAACTTGTACAAGTTGAAGAGGCAGAAGAGGACCATGCTGTAATATAAGAAATGCATGTACTCTTGTTACAGGACTCTAGATTTTTACTGGGGACAAGGGCAGGCCTTGGCTGGCTAATAATCCCACTGAAACTTTAACTGCCAACTGTAGGTTTGATTTAAAAACTAACGGTACAATGTAAGCCCTGTAAGGGACATGGTCACACAAAACATTGGATCATCTCTACAGAAATTCTTCTTTGCTTGTTCCCTACTAAAGATAATTAAAGCTGTTAAGCCATGACACAATAACTTTGACTAGTAAGCTCTATGGTCAAGTATAATAATTTAATACACATTTAGCAATTCACAGCAAAGGTGAGGGAAAAGTCTATAATCAAAACTATGTACTAAAACTGTCCCATAAGAAGGCAGGATTCCCCTCTCCTCCCTGTCTACAATACTGTAGTGTTTATTTTTGTGTGAGCCTAGGCACGAAGGCAGTGGTGTGCTGTAGCTGGCTTGTACCAGTTTGCAAGAACAGATTGTTAAATTTTCTGGAATTTTGCAAGCCAGATAGGAGAGTAGCACTGCAATGCCTAATACACTGATCAGCTGTTTGGTAGCAGCTAGCAGAGCCAGTTGCAATACATTGATGAGCATCTCAGTGCATGAAGGGTACAGAAAAGTACAGAGGCTGTGCCTATCAACTCTGAACCAAGCCGGTAGTCACCTTGCTTACTGGATGGTACATAAGTGTAAATGTGTATGTGCATCTGCACACATACCCACACCTAGATGTTGTACATTTATAATTACAACTTCCCCTTCTTTCTGGCTGTTTGCAAATGAGTCTCTTTGCCAAAAAAAGTATCCAAGAAGGATCAATGTGTATTGTCACAACAGATATGCTAGGGGTCTTTCTATTTTACTAGGCACTAAAATTCCTTTAAATATATTAGATAGTGAAATAGTAAGCCAAATTATCAGCTAAATCCAGGCTTGTGATTTATGATAGACAACTGAATGCAATGCAACACATACAGAGTACCCTGAAGTTGCTGGGCCCCAGGAAGACCACTGTGTAAAGTTGGTTGGTCATCAACAACTTTATTTTAGATTTAAATAATTCTTGAAATGCAAAAGCAAATTGCCAAAAAACAAAAACAAAAAACAAATCCAGAAAATCATCAAGAGCACAATTTAAAGGAGACTGTATCCATCACTACTAATGGAATAATCAAGCAAAGTTCCTTATATAAAGAATTATTATTTTGCAAATCTGGTAAGGTCAAACCTAGCAATCACTTCAACTTTAGCAAAGAGAAATACAAAATCATTTTTGGAGTACTGGGAATTTTCCTTTCTCTCTCTTTCTCTTTTAAGATATACTGTGGGCTGTGAGAAAGCCTGTGGAATTCTTTCCTTTCCTGGTAATTCTAGAGCCTGTTATCATAAAAGAGGCATTTCTTGAATGACTGGTGGTAGGTAGTTCATGTTTTTCAATCCAACTTGCAGTTGTATTTGTTGCTGTATAGTGATTGTTTTGCAAAATAAAATCGCTTGTCATCAACTTGCTTGCATCCCAAGTTTCTGTTTCTCCATTATATCCTCTGCTGTTCCACATTGCAATATTAGGATAATTTAGCCTAAAGAAAGGAGTCTCCCATGTCTCCTCTGGAAAAGGATTGCTAGGGCAATTTCTATCTCCTAGGAAGTCAACCTGATAATATACCTTGCTGTGTTTATTTGCTTCTTGAACCTAGCAGGTTCCAATCCATCCAGCTGAGAGTTTGTGCTTAATACATGCCTGATGTTTCAGGGGCATGTATTAATTTCCTGGTGACATTCCAATGGTGATACAAGGTAGGAAGGTGGGAGTAGGGAGGAATGATGGTAAATGTATACAGTAATCATATGCCCCAAATATTAGAATGCATCTTATAGTTCTCCTTTGAGATTGTCTTTTGTACGTATATAAACAGCTTTCAACTGGTAATGAATAAATATACCTCCTGCTTCTGCCACATAAACAAGAATATCTGGTACTGCCAGGACTGTCTGCATTTTGGAATACAAAGTTTTCAGGTAAAATGAAGCCAGACTTGACATCTCAACTATTAGGTATTTCCCCAGAAACTGTAGTGCAACAGACCAGTAGTGTCTTGTCACCCTGACAGTACCTTGCTGGTAACACTGGACAACAATTTTTTTTCAGAAGTTTTGCTTCATCAAAACCTTTTGGTGATTATATTAGTAACCTTCAAACTGAAAGCAAGTTTAATTTAAGAATGACTTTATCATATAGGAATATTGAGAAATATGAAATTAAATTTTAATGACTATAATGTATTTAATTGCATAATGTATTCAACTTGCTGCATGAGCTCAACAAGACTAAAAGTATTTTGATTTTTATTTGTACTCAGTAACTGATGCATTTCACTGCGGTGTCCAAAAATAGCCACCATTGATGGATTCCAGTTTCCCTGATACCATTTTTTCCATTGTGTCAATGCCCTGGTGAAACCTTTCACCATGTTCATCACTGGATGACTAGATTTTCAGGAAAGAAGTCCAAGTATGAATGCAGAAAATGAATTTTCAGTGACATGTTGCACTTCATGGTCTTCTATACTAGAAAACCAGTTGAATGTAGTTTGGTGCTCTTTAGTTGCCAAGAAAATTCTTAACAATATTGAATGCTTTCCATGTGATTTTTTTCTGGCCCCGCTAACAGAGTTTTGAACGCTTGTTGCTGATGACTTTATCTGATCTGTGGACCAACAAAAATGCCTTCCAAGTGACTTCCAAGTTCCTCTGAGCCAAGCTTTAAGATCAACAGCACATCTTGCACAATAAATGTGAGGAGCACAGGCCTTGCCTTGATCACCAGTCCTACAACCAAAATACAGTCCATACATGTTGAGGCTGAAGAAGCTGCTTGGATGGGCAGTGAAGCATCTCAAAACAACAAGAATATAAGTCCAGT